AGCCATCACGAACCTTTTCGAAAGAGGAAGTTCAGTGAGGAGGGATACCAGGGTCGAGGCCGAGTACCAAAAAGCTCGAGCTATATAAATACCCGACGTTGAGCGATCGTAGAGCCATCAGGCACAAGCACAAGCACGGCAAGTCATCTCTGCTGCTTCTCCTTCGTGATGATCCGATCATTGTTGTTACTCGGCCTTCTAGGCGCATCACTGCCCGCCCATGGCCACCCTACCCAATCTTACAAGGCTGGGCTCCGGCGCCGGACGGTAGACTTGAACGCCTATCGTCTAAAGGAGACGGCCGAGTATACTAACAAGGCTGCGGCAAGCACTAACAGGGCCGTCCGTCTTCTAAAACGGGATTCCTACGTCGACACCGCGACCGAGCTCGTCAAGAGCGTTGTCCCTGGAGCCACGTTCCGCCTCGTTGACGACCACTACGTTGGCAAGAACGGGATTGCTCACGTCAACTTCAAGCAGACGGCTCACGGATTGGATATTGACAATGCCGACTTCAATGTCAATGTAAGCCTCGAAGCCTAGCTATGGAAGAAATTGATCAGTTTGAAACTAATGCTTATTAGATTGGCGCCGATGGGAATGTCTTCTCATACGGCAACTCATTTTTCACGGGTTCCATCCCTGAAGAAAGCCCTCTTCAGAAGCGGGAGTTCTCAGACCCGACGCAAGCACTCTCGGGAGCCACTAAGCTTTTGGAGTTACCTGTAACCGGGGACGCCTCCGCGGAGGCGACCGACGGTACTGAGACTTTCGTGCTTAAAGGAACGTCAGGTGCTCAGAAAGACCCCGAAGCCAGCCTAGTCTACTTCGCCAAGCCTGATGGTAGCCTAGCTCTCACATGGAGGGTAGAGACTGATATCTTAGACAACTGGCTACTCTCGTACGTTGACGCAAACACCAACGAAGAAATTCACGGTGTAGTCGACTACGTCGCCGATGCTACGTACCTGGTCTAGTGAGTATAATCCGTATATCTAGTCGAAAACTCGTGTCTAACGCCTCGATAGCCCGTGGGGAACAAACGACCCCGATGTTGGCGAGCGAGAAGTCGTAACTGACCCGTGGGACCTCCAGACATCCGAGTTCACGTGGTTATCCGACGGAACGACCAACTACACAACTACGCGAGGAAGTGAGTTAATATCGTATAGGGCGCGCTCAGGATGTAATTATTGACCTTATATCTTACCAACAGACAACGGTATCGCGCAAACCAATCCGGATGGCGGATCGGACTACCTCAACAACTACCGCCCAGACAGCTCATCCCTAAAGTTCGAGTATAATTGGGACGCAACTTTGACGCCGCCGTCGTCGTACGCAGATGCTTCGGTCGCTCAGCTCTTCTATACGGCGAACACGTACCATGATTTACTATATGACCTCGGCTTCACCGAGGAGGCCGGTAACTTCGAAACTAATAACAACGGACAGGGCGGCAAGGGCAATGACTTCGTCATTCTCAACGCGCAGGACGGCTCCGGCACCAACAATGCCAACTTCGCCACTCCTCCCGATGGACAGAACGGACGGATGAGGATGTACATTTGGACAGAGTCGACCCCTTATAGAGACTGCGCCTTCGAGGCCGGCGTCATTATCCACGAATACAGCCACGGCTGTAAGTGACAATCCATTCTCTATTGAGTAGCCCGAAGAAACAACATGGCTAATTTTTCCGTATTAGTGTCGAACCGCCTGACCGGTGGTCCTGCAAACTCCAACTGCCTGAACGCGCTTGAATCAGGTGGTATGGGCGAGGGCTGGGGCGACTTCTTCGCAACAGCTATCCGCCTACAGCCTGGGGATACTCGGAATACGGATTACAGCTTAGGCGCGTGGGTTTACAATGACCCCGCGGGCATCCGAAACTATCTATACTCGACGAGCCTCGACACCAACCCATACCAATACGTCACGCTTAACACGTACAACGAGGTGCACGATATTGGTGAGGTGTGGGCCACGATCTTGTACGAAGTCCTATGGAATCTCATCGACAAGCACGGCAAGAATGACGGCCCCAAGCCCGAATTCGACCAGAACGGTGTCCCGACCGACGGAAAGTACCTGACCCTGAAGCTTGTAGTTGACGCTATGGCCCTGTAAGTACCTGAACCTAAGATACGGCGTGGCAACGAACTGACCCTCTATTCTTCCTAGTCAACCTTGCAACCCCAATTTCATCCAAGCCCGTGATGCCATCATTGACGCTGACGAGGCTTTGACCGGCGGTGACAACGTCTGCGAGCTGTAAGTAAATCTGGCAACTCAAACCAAAACAATAACTGACAATGACGTTTTAGCTGGACCGCCTTCGCTAAGCGGGGTCTCGGCGAGGGCGCTGCCTACTCAAGCACCAGGCGCACAGGGAGCAACACGATACCCAGCGGAGTCTGTTAGATACATTCTTAGTTAGACCCCTACGCACCGTCTATGAGCTACTGGGCCGGAGCTTTAGGGCCACGGATGAGCTCCTAATCGAGGTGGTTAGCAAAGGTAATACTGAGGGTATACCAAGGTTACGGCGCAAGCCTCGTCTGATAACATACCCGATTAATTAAAATATCATTATTTTATGCCATGATTTCTATTACATCCCAAGCTGAGTAGACTGAATTAGGTACCTTTTTATCTTAGGGACGAACTTGGATAAACAAGTTAGGAGGTACCTAAGGTACCAAAATCGGCGGTTTGGGGAAACCCATGGCTATTAATAATAGCAAATAGTCCACCAAGGTACTCATTTTTTGATAACCTAAAGCTAGCGAATTGCAACGTTCTTTAACCAGCTGCCTGATATGGGTGGTTCCATTCATGGTAAATAATCAGGACAAAGTCTCGCGTTGATGTTGCAAATATAGTCACGATAGAATACACGTATATTAGCATACCGATAACTAGATACTTCACGCAGCTTCTCAGTCGGCTGAATCGTATGTGTGAGCTGACTCCGGTGAACGGTCCCAGTCTATTTTCTCTTACAATCCCGACTAAAGATCCTTGAAAAACCTGTCTGTCTCCTTGCCGATCCAGTTTGACCTCTCTATGATATTTTCGACAGACCAGAGCCCCTCGTCAGTGATATACGCATGAATAAACATAGCCGGGACCCATTCAAAGTATGAATTCCTTACGCGAACCTTTCTTCCTCGTATTATATCGCGCTCGCTGTCACTCAAAATTCTTTCTACGAGATCAGCACCCTTTACGATTCCCTTCCATGTACGTATGAGTTCTGTTGAGCTGTTTTCCTCCGCTAGGTGATCTTTTATCAAGCCTGGCCGAGCTATCTTTTCCGTTTCGCTCAGTATAACGACCTTTGCCTTTGGTGCAACATGTCTCTGGCAGAGAATGGCAGGGAGGGATCCAATTTTCTAATGGTATGATTAGTACATGAGTAGGCACGGATGCTTGCATATCTTTGGTAGAAGACACCAAGAGATATACGGTATACGTATTGACTTACATTGCTAACGTCGCCCGATGTGCTAATGCGGTCGGCCCCAAGGACGACGATATCGATTCCGTCAGCGGCTAGAGCTGAAGAGGCATCTGTATAGAGTGTCACGTTTAAATCCACCGAATCGTTTTCCACCTCGAGCAGCTTTGAGGCTAAAGTCACACCTTCGTAGAGGGGTCTCGATTCTAGAATACGAAGGTCAATCGAGACGCCTAGATGGGCAGCAGCCTGCAAAAGACATGCCGATATAGTAGAGCTATAGGACAATGTAAGAATAGAAATAGTTTCTTTCGATCCCGTAGTTCGGATAACATGTTGGCGGAGATAGTCGATGAATGAATCACGAATGCGATCGGTCGTAGATTTGCGTTCGTTTAACTGATTCTCAAGGGCATCGACAATCTTCCGAACTTTTTCTCGTGGCGGTATGTCTTGTGTGATTATGTTCTCAATTCGGTCGAGTGCCTTGACTGTAGCACTAGTGATCGCGGCTCCCATACTTTCGCGAGTTTTACATATATGCCATGCGGCCATTCGGATATTCGCCCACCAGTTATCATCAATCACATCAGAATCCATCTCTACAATAACGTTTTTCAAAGTTGATATCGCCAGGTTGGCAAGCTGCCTGGCACCGCTTTCGTGATCGTCTCTCAGCTGTTGTAGGCCGGACGATAGGACTTCAGCCGCCCTCGGGCCCAGGTCGTACTCGGGCCACACCCTTCGCAAGCTATTGACGAGCTTCGGGACGCCACCAAACTCGTCCGACTCATTTACGTCTAATGGATTAAACCATTCGAATCCTTCATGCTCCCAGTCGATGGTGATCCCCTCTTCACCTTTTCCTCCTTCAGACTTCTCTTTGAGGCGAAAGCCAAACGGGTTAATAGTCCACTCGCGACCAATAGATTCGTCAACGAAAGAGTACGGTTTACCGACACGAAACAGTTCGATAGAGGATAATGTCAATCCCGTCTCCTCGTTGATCTCCCGCAAAGCGGTGGCGAGTGGAGTAGCATCGTACTTCTCGACACTGCCGGATATGGGAGCAAATTTGTGCTGGTAAGTACTGACCTTACCGCTGCGTTTAAACAAGGCTACTTGGGCTTTCCTCTCGTCGCCGTGGGGGAACCTGAAAAGAAAGGATCCTGCGACAGATCGCTTTTTGAGCCCGTCTTTCCCTTTCGTAGCATCGTTTGAAGACATTGTATACCTCCGATCGAATGAAGATTTAGCATGAGTTATTCTTGGAAATGGTCTCAATACGCATCGAGGAAAGATGGCCAGTACGGCTTTAAAGAAGGGGCCATGATATATCCCGTACATCACAAGGTAGCCGCAGGTTGTTAGTCGGCTGGTGTTACGTTTTCCTCGTCATAAGTGTACGCCATTTACCAATCAGCTAGTTGGAGGGGGGTTTGGTTATGAGATGATGACGGGTACAGAGCATAAAGATATTGCATGTCGAGCTTCACCCCAAGTGGGATTTTTATAATAAGGAATTTTATGAATTAAATCAAAACTGCAACATCAATATATTCCGAAATATAGGTAGGTACCGATATATGTATTTGACTACCTAAATGTTCCATGCCTAACAGCATCGTTAATTCGCACTTTTGCCCTTATTTTTCTACCTCTAACGAATAAGAAAGGTTATTTTATTTTATTTTATTTTTTCAAAAAACCCGCATTCCCGCTAAAACCCAAATGACACAAATAATACCGCCAACACGCCTTCCTATTTTTCCTGTCCCCCATGATTAAGACGTTATGGAGAAAACTCCAAGAATGCAAGTATATAGGTATGCTTCGCGAAAATAATGGACTTCCTTTACGAAGCATATCCTTAAGAAGTATGTAAAAGAATGGATTACCTTTAGAAGAGCTAGTTCTATCAATGGATAGAGTCCTAGCAACCCCAAAACTTCTCCATAACCTAGATGTAATCCGACGTCGCAATCTTATACGCTCTGGGCTCCCGTTCCACTACTCCCGTCCATCTTGTCAAACCCGGCGTGGGGCCGGTTCCGTAGCGCGCTCCGAATAGCTGACTCGGGTCGCTGCGCCCACACGCTGTAGCCCGATTCGCTGTGAGGATATAAGACCTTATTCTTTGGGTTCTCGACCCATTCGGAGAGGCGAGGTTTGGGCCGCGCCGCAATGGTTTCCATATCCTGCACGATCTGCTGACAGAATAGATCCAGAGGCAAGTCGTTGACGTCGTTGCCGAAAGGGTTCTCGACTTCGTGGCCTATGAAGAAAATACCTAGGATGATATAAGACGCAGCGACGGTAGCTGGGATCGTTATCCAGTCAAGTTGGAGGAACAATTGGAACGGCAGGAGGAACACATAAATCCAGGTGATTTGCGAAATAGCGATGGCATAAGCAATAGGAAGGGGAGTATTGAGAACTCGCTCGGTACCGACTAAGACGTCGTTCAAGGCTTGAAGTTGGTTGTCTGTAAGTTATGTTAGTAAAACTTGCGTATTCATTCAGCTGGAAACGACTTACAGGCAGTAGTCTGTTGCATCGGAATAGGTAGCTGGCCATTGAGGGCCAGTTCGTCTACGTATGCCGTGAGGTAACAGAGGATCTCTAGTGGAAGATTTCCCAGGGGGGTCTGGGCTTTCTTCATTAATTTCCGGGGGTTCGAAGCTGCAAATGATAAACCGAGATTCTCTCCGACCGCCTTGAACAATCCTGACTTCGGCTTCATCGCATTTTCTTCCGTGGCAGATTTAGCAAAGGTGTCAAGATGATCGACTAACTCCACGAGGTCGTCATAGTACGTATACGGTTCGAATCTGAGCTTGTGCTTCAAGGATACCGCAAAGGCTACGATTAAATTCATGGCGGTCCTAGCCCCAGTTAACGGATGTGGATATACCTCAATCTTTAATCGGAATCTTACAATTTCGCTAGCAGGTCCTTCTTGGAAGATCCCTCGCGTTCGACGGCGTTTATCCAGAAGACTCGACCGAGGCCTTGGCAGGCGAATATCAACTGGCTCCAGTATTTTCTGCCCTCGGCATATCGCTCATACGCCGTCGAGCTGCGGAAAGATAGACCCAAACCCACGACGAAACCGGTGACAGTGAGCAAGATAGAACTGATTCCCAAGTTAACCCCTGGAACCGTCTTTGAGACGACGGTCACAAGACTCGCCCAGGCGGCGACGACAAGTAGTGGGACAATCATTTTGGGCAGAATGCTGCCATGTAGCTGCATGAATAGAGGCCATTTCGAGTGTTTAGAGAGATCACGAGGGCCGGTCTAAAGAATGGGAGAGTTAGCACTCATTACGCAGCATAATTGGAATTCCTACCGTACAAAATAAGCATCTATATCCATGCTCGTGTTTCTCCGGCTGAATGGGTTTGGAGTCGTTGTATTCCGACTAGGCGATATAGGATATACATCTTCCTGAGCAGTAGGTTGTCTCTTTTCTTGCTGGGTCGAGATATGAAGCGCGGTCGGTTCGCCATAGTGTTGTTGCGCATGAGCAGCGGACGCTCCTGTGGCACCTGCGTCCTCCGACATCTCGAGAGAAGCTTAAGAAGTGGGAACGAGTGGGGAGATCGAGGGACGACGATGTGATCGGCAAAGAGTAGTATTGCGCAATTATACGGGGGGTCTACAAAGAACAGTAAAGAGCTGCTCCTCGGTGATCGACAGGACCGCAGTATAACAGTCAATTAATTATCACAACCGCGAGCCGGAAGCTGTCTAGGTGAAAAATGAAGGAGAGTATACACCAAGAGCGGTAAAAATTGAGATTGAGCATACAAGGGGTAAAAAGAATAAAATAACTAGAAAGAAAAAAACTTCAAACGGAGACCTTACGTATGTCCCTGTCAAATCCCAATTCCTTGCGCATAATGAGCTGGGCACCACAGCTTTAAATATCTGCTTCAGCATTGAGAACTGTCAGCCCGAGATTTCATCAGAGCTCTACATAGTTTACTGGGGGTATTCTATGACTATTCTAGGTCTAGTCGTCACCTCGGTGGAGTGAATTGAAACGGAGAGAAAGGCCAAAGGGGGCCAATTAGAAGGAACCTCGTAGAATAGCGGGCGAATTAGATACTACCAGCCAACGTGGGTTTTCTAGAATTCCCAGAATAGGATATCTTGGCAGCGCAGGGGGATCCAGCATGGGTTATTTGGTCTGTATCATGGGGTGGCATTTTGTGGCTATTGTCTGTACGCCAGCCTGTAACCAGATGAGTTACATCGACTCGTCCTCAAATGCAGGTCCTAGGAATGCAGAAATACTACAAAGGTAGATCTCTAGCTAACTTGACTCGACGAGAGTAGGAGAGCGCACAATAGCAGTCTCTCTACTTAGATGCAATTCAAGGAATACGAGTGGTATGAACTTCTTGCCCCACAGAAGCTGATGAGATGATCCTAGTCGGTAGCCACTAGACGAGATCGAACGTTTGAAGCCTTCGGTCCAGAACGTCTGTTAAAGAACCAACGGCTTTATTCCAAAATAAGCATTCGATCGGTTCGGTACGTACCGTCGTGCTGCGCAAAGATGCAGGTACTGCAGGACACATGGATGACCGTGGCTGAGAGAAGCGGAATAATAAGCCCGTAGGAATATTCACCTACCTAGATACCTAAAGTAAGAAAAGCAGCTTATAGGTAATAGGTTCACACGGAAATGAACTAGGACTTCTGCAAGAGATAACTACGCTGACCGCTCAAAGAGTATATTCTAGTACACGTCTAGACTTACATATGTAATATAACGTGGCAGCTGCATGTCATTAGACGTTTTCTCTCCTCTAGGTTTGCGTATACGATACTAGTGGAGTAGGGCTCTAGGGATAAAAGGCTATCTAACCAACAACATGTCTATGCGTACTTTACGAATATATGATTTCTTCATTTGGTTAATTTCTAGGAAGAATCTAGATTTAATAGGCGTCTAATCAACTTGGTCCCATCTCCAACTAAGCTGTTGGAAAATTAAAAAGTCATGCCAGCTCTTAAACCAAACGGCCCCAGTCCTGAATCCTTCTGGCTCTACATAACTGCATTGCCTATTACGAATATATAAATAGGTACCTAGGTAGGTAATCTTGCACGGTAAGATACCAAAGCGCATCACACTCGAACTATATATAAGCGTCTCGAACTTGGAGACATGATGTTTGAATTTCACTCTCTGCATTGTCTTCGTATGTCTTCATACCTACCTACCGACCGACCTAAGTAGCTACCTGCTATAAACTGATTTCGTGATGGGCGACCACCCGCTATATGCATCATGCTAATATATATAATATAAACACCACCCATAAACTCCCGTAAATGAACATGTAAATCTAAGGAGCCTGGTATCCTCCTATTCTGCAATTCGATGCATATACCCGAAGATGGACGAAACCCCAAATATAAATAACATCACCGAACAACCGAGTAAGCCCGCTCTTTATCTTCGCGGTCCTTCTTCTTCTTGAATAAGGACTTGAGCATGTTGTCCTTCTTCGGACGAAGCACGACGGACTTTTCTCGGTCACTGCGATCGTCGTCGACGGCCTTGACCTCTACCTTTTCGGATCGCTTAGATTTGGAGTGACGTTCCGTCTTATCGCTCCGATGACTCTGGACGCTTTGGTGGCTGCGATGACTCTGGGTACTTCGGTGGCTTCGGTGACTACCTGCTTCACTCGCGTTATCGACATCTTTGACGCCACTGCTGCTACCGTTCTTGGGAACGTCATGATGGTCTCCTGCGTCGCCCTTACGGCTCTTCTGCGGCTTGTGCGACTTGCTGGTCTTGGTCGTTTTACTTGTCTTGGATGTCTTGTCTGTGCGACCAGTTCGATTCGTGCGAACGCTACGCTCGGTCCGCGCATCATCACCACCGTACTGACTACGAATGGCACGATCAGCTTCGGGGCTGATGAGCTCAAGGTCGGCCTGATCGTCCTCGCCAAAAGGTGCAATGCCCCTGCGCCATACTTCGATACTACTTAACTCTTCCTCAAGCACGAGAGCTTCGTCAAAGCCCGCGCTTACTTCTGATTCCGGATATGGAGCCCGACTGGCTTCACCAGGCCCTGGCTGGTGCGCCGGGAAAGCCATCGGAGAAGCAGCAGCAGCGGTGCCAGCTTCTTGGATACGCTTCACGATCTTCCAACCTCCAAACATGACTACCGTCACTCCAACCGTCACTCCAGCCGCAATAAGGAACTGGGGGCTGGCCAAAAGAGCAAAAATTGCAGGACTTCCACCTTTGAGGACGGCAAGGAAAGAGGGTGACATCTTCCCCAGCAGCGCAGAAAGCTCGGCGAGCGTGAGAGCAACAGCAGCGGCAGCTTCCGGATTTCCCTGCAGATGCTGAATGATATGCGTCGCAGTATGGTGTAAACATTGAGCCTCCGTTAGTAGGTTCTCGATCTTCTCTATTACGCTCATTGCTTCGCGCTCCTTTTCGACATTCGGTTCGACATTCTTATGGACAGGATCTAGATCCACCCTTTCTTCTAGATCCGGAGGAAGGCTTCCATATGCTAAGTTCATATCGATATCCTTCCCCTTCTCCCTTAAGGCCGGATCCGACGTTGATCGGGACACAGGCACCATATGCGTCGGGGTCGAAGCGACAAGCTCACCGGCGTAGGTAGGCATCGTTGGCGCATGCGCTAATGTTGGTCGACTCAATGTCATATCTCTGGGGGCTGTCTCGGCATACGGAGAACGATATGTAACTGGAGGGCGCGAAGGAGCCGTAGAGGAGACTTCAGTAAGAGTCTTTAAATTGCGTTCAGTCAAGGCACTTCCCGCCTGAGAAGTAGACCGCTTTGAGCGGTAGCTTCTACGGGAAGAAGCTTGGGAAGCACCGTCATCGTGAGATGCCCGTCGAGGCCACCCATCATATTCGATGCTGTCATAGTAGCGAGATGCGCTCGGTATGTCGATGGTCTCGCTACGCTTGATGGCGCGTTCGGCTTTGATAGCTGCCTTTTTCTCTTGATATGATGCCTTGGCCTCTTTAAGCACATTAATCAGGTGTCTGCCCTGTCGAAGCGATAATTGTTAGGTTGCATATCGGAAATAAAACATATAAAATGAAAAAAAGCTCTCTGCTTATATTGGACTGAAAACGCCGGAAGGAATAGAGATTTTTTTTGCGGGGCATGTTGTAGAAAGTAAACCCATAGTGTAGATGTAGGACCGGTAATAGTGTGGTAGTGTGATAGTGTGATAGTGTAATACCAGTCACAATATTATGATGGTAACAGCGACAAGTAGCACGAAATTGTGAAAGGCCAGAGCCGCAAACTTACATTGCTGATTACCTTCCCCGACGAGTTCACGATCGTAACAATTTCCACAGGCATTATAGCAATACTTGTTATTCCACTTATACAGTTGGGAATGAAAACAACAAGAAAAGACGAGTTATAGTTTAATTACTTATGAAGTAGCGGGAAAAGAGGGACGAGGCGGGAACGCAACCGGTTAGCTAACCAGCACGGTTGTCATTCGTCTGTCCGGCCAACACGCGGCGGTGAAGGGATCGCTGAACATGGACGGGGGTAATAAAGTGGGAATAGGAGGTCTAACATCGATGCACTTGACAGAACTTCGCGGGCAGAACATGAGTTTTATTTAAGTTAGCTACGTAAAGTACTTTAGGTTGTATAAGTACTATGAAAGCCGACGAACCGATCAATATAAGAGGAGCATTAGGAGGGAAAAGAAAGGCACCTATTTTGACAAGAGTCCACCCAAGGACCAACAGCACATCCGTCCGAACTATCGGTCTCGGAGGAAGATACCGCTGATTGGCTGGGTAAGGGGTAGATCAGGCGTGCGTGCAGGCGCTTTAACTGCACCACGTTGTTGACGACTTTGTGTGGCGGCCGAGGCGCACGAGGAATACCTAAGTGAGATCACTATGCAATATGATGTTATCTTTTACTTGCAGGCCCAATTTACGCTCCATCTGTGTAAACGAGATGGCGTACCGCATGCGACCGCTTTCGTAATTCCAGAGGCTCGGATCTGAAAAATCTAGTTTGGAGCCCGCCTAGAAGGAAAAAAGAAAGAAAAAAGAGGGAGAAAAAATGGGGGGAAAAGGGGTAATAGGTATAATACTAAGGTATATACATACGTACATACCTAACCTAAGGTATTATTACAATTGATCAATTTCAAGGGACGGTCTTGATCCAGTCACAAATTATCATACTCAGCGCGCTCGCCTCGTTACTACGTTGTAGCACATAGTAGGAGTAGAAGACGGATGAATTGTAAATCGCTGCTGATCGCGCGGGAGGAGGCCGAACGGCAGTGTCAAGTCAATCGGAGAGGGATCGGGCAGCGCACGATTTGCTTGGCTTCTCGTTATCGAGTCATCTAGCAAAGACAAATGCAGGCTTTGAATGGAGACAAGTGGCGGCTATCGTGACCGCTCAATCACCTAATCAAGCCAACGATCCTCCCTTAGAGCCGGGATATGCCCTGGTAGGAAGAGGGGATCGCGACAGCGGCTCTAACGGGAAGTGCCCGCGAGAGAAGCTAGGTAGTCTAGGGCTTGACCCTCTACCTATCGAAGCCAGTGGCAGGAATAGCAGGAATGGCAAGAATGGTGATGCGATTCACATCATGCGAATGGCTTTTGATCCACTTCACCATATCCAGTCATCGTCGGGATTTAACGCCTTTTTTCTTTAGTGTACATACTACTGATTGATCTTATGCCGTGCGCTCTTTCGTGTCCACCTTGTCTATCCAGTCCAACCACTACATTTTCTAGATACCTACTTCATAAGTACGATGTGCACACGATTAAAACTCGGCTGATCTACCTACTATCTAGACACCTTAGGACCTAGCTAAGATACGTCAGTTGTTTTTATAGGCCGTGTACCAGCCAGTCGCCGATGTTTCAAATGCTGCGAAATGTTGTAATACAAGGTTAATCCTTATACAGCAAGATGATGGTTGATTTTCTAAGTTGGGGGGCATAAGAGGGGGCATCCAACTTGGGAAATTTGGAGATTTTTTGTGCGACCCGTTCGGACCATATTTTGATTTACTCCAGGTTTGCCGTAGGTTTGGTTTAGTTTGTTTGGTTTGGACAGACCAACCAATGAACGCCACATGTGGCTATTAACACGATGATACTAATGGATGTGGACATCTGTTATCATGGATCTGATAAATATGCCTGATATATGTAATTACTAACAAGATCCCCTTGTATGAAAATAAAGAGGTCTGATTGTCTACTGATATAAACATTCACCTTTGACGGAACATATTACCCTCACTCCTCAGCTGCCGGACGTCGCCTTCTAATCCGAAACCATAATACACATCACCGCCATCCTAAACCCTTCTTTCGGGATATCGCGTATCCTCTTGTAGAACCTCAAGACCACTCATCCTATGAACGATTCCGTAGCCAACCTTCAAGTTTTTAATGTCCCGTGGTAGATTACCCCGATCTTCTCCAACCCAACCCAGTTTTTCCAACGCCGGTCCCCGAGTTGCTGCTACGATGCTAGAGAATCGCGTATTGCGCAGCACCCCCTCATTCTCTAGGATCGCGAGAGTGCCTGCCCCTGCCCCGGCCGCGGCCAGAAATATAGCAATGCTGTATACGACCCACAAGTCTCGTGCATGATAGATGTACCTGTTTTCCAGCCGGGACCGGACGCAGGGGTACTTGGTTGACTCGTCTCCCGCGCCTGTCCCAGGCATCACGCTTATATACCAAGACTATATTTGCTACGAAAGTGATATCCCGTAATCGTAGCTTGTGCGGCTGGAAATATGGCTCACCTCTCTCATTTCGGTATACGTTAACCCTAACAGATTAGGCACGTATGGATATGAGCTTTCGGCGTTGGCAGCTTTAAGTAGGTTAAGTACCAGGTAATTAACAAGCTCAACTTTTAGCAGGAATTTGATTTGGTAGATCTATAATACGAGCAATCCGGTGTTTTGTGTATTGATGACATAAAAGTGACAATGCTTGTGGCATTGAGTAGACCAATGGCTCTATATGAAAAGATATCTTCCAAAGAAACATCAAAGAGCTATTTGCCTACGGCTAGCCTAACGGGTTTACTTAGGATTATGAGGTTATGTCCCGTGCTAAGATATGCTTAAATGTATGTAGAATAATATAACCGGTAGTCATATTATGATAATGCCATTACTCCTATACGTGTTTCCCAACTTAGCAAAGTGCTATTACTATGGTAAGCAGCCTTAATACTAAACATAGTATCACTTTTTTGGATGGAGGAGAGGTAAATAGTAGACTATTATACACAGCTACCTGGCTCACAAAGTATGCTAGGCTAACAATTGGCGTTCGGTCGTAGTAGAATCTCTCTCGTTTACTTGCGAGGTTCCCAGCCCCTATTTCGTGATACCCCGTCGGACGCATGCGAATTAGTACACCCAAGTGATGCTCAATTCTTTATTTTCCTATCCCTTTTCTTGAAATACCGTATTTAGTTGTCCACATGCTTAGATTTACAAGCCTCGCGTGTTTTCTTGTATTGTGAACCTAAATCATATGTTCCATAGGCTGTGGCCTCTCAACCTAGGAGTACTCGAAGCAGCGTCCTGATGTTGTATACCAGGACCACAAACAATAATTTTCAAGGGTTACTCGCAAAGTACGTTTGTTTCACTCATGTACGGGTCTTGATGTTAGCGTGGCTAGAGTTTTGACTTTACGTACATGCACTTCGAGTTGGTAATTGAATAAATTTTTGTTTGGATATCCTCGAGGGGATACCCCGTATTGTATACGGCAAGCTCTTTGCTTTCTTGCCGCTTATGTGCCGATTCCCTCGGCAATTAGGAAGCTCGCGTCCAGGTTATTTGCTAACCGGTCTATCGAGTAGACAACATGCTCATAGCTTTTGATGCTGGTTACGAGATCCGGACTCCCCACGCCACGACGCGAATAGTAGTACACGCTCCGTATAGATATAATAATAGGAAGCCAAGCGATTAGCTTTGCGATACTTAGACTACCTCGAGTAGAACCTAGGGACACAATGTCTAAGTAGACCAACGCTGCTAGAATAAAATCCCGCTAGACGGGGCTCATCTCTGACGGATGTTCTTAGGCTTTCGCTTCTTAAAAACCACAGTTGGCGGGTCGCTCTCCGCATCCCCTTCTTGTTTGACGGGCGCATCTTGATGATTCTTTTGGGTTTCTTGGGGGTCTGGTTTAATAGACCATAGAGCTTGGTTGTCGGTTGTTTCCTCCTTTTTTATATCAGATGTTGGGTTTTCTTTCGTCTCGCTCGGTGGGTTGGCTTTTTCATCGATATAATTCTGAGGGTTATCCTCGGACTTGGGTGGTTTCGTTAGGGCACCGCTGAGCAGGGCGTCTAGCTCTGCATCGTCCTCCGGAGCCTGTTTTGTATCGCGACCCCATTTCCTAGGCTTCTTAAATAGACTCTTAATTGCATTCTCCTCTTCTTCCTCCTCTGCTTCACTTTCACGTTTCGGTCGCTTCCGTACGCCAGACGCGATGGCATCGACGTTTTGAGGTTTGGTATCTGATTCGTTTTCGGCCTTGGGTGTATCATCGATAATCCTCTCGCTAGTAACGGTCCATTCGCTGGCCATGGCCATCTCTTTTCTTAGTTCGGTTGGCACTTCAATGCCCATCTCGACCAGTTGCTCCCATTGCTGTTGACGCTGCGAACCGGCGGCTTGTGTTTGCGCTTGCGACGAGGTTGAAGCTGATGTTCTACTACTACTCGCTACATGACGATGATCCGAAGAGGAACCGACTACGCCATTGAGTCTCTCGACCTCCCGCTTAGCGCGATCTTTCTCTCGTTGCTCTTGTTCGTGATTTCGGTGTAGGTCTCTCAGGAAACGCTTTAAAGCGCCTTGGTGCTTGGCGGTAGCTTCGTGATTTTGACGCTCGAGTTTGGTATCGCGTACGTAGGTGCTGCAATGCTTACACCAGTATTTAGGTGTTGATTTCCAGTATTCGGACATGGTGGGAATATCGCCTCTAACGCTTGGGTCATGAAGACATGTAGGTATGTAAGTAAGATAATAAATTATGAGATGGGAAGGAATGTATCTTAGGTAATTTACACGTAAGTACCCATTCAAATGTAGGCTTATCAGGCTTATTTAGTAGTGTAGACTTGGCGTTATCGATAGTTGCTTAACGAGGCAGAACAGTGTCAAACTAAGTGCCTTTTTTTATTCTTGCAACAAGTCACACTCCGAATTGCTTCTCATACAACTTCGCCATTTCCCAATAGAAATTTCTCATTTCTTTTGAGGATCAAAATTTAATGACCTTATTTTCTTAATCCAATTTTTGGGAACTTTCTACTATTGTGGTTGCTAATAAATAAGCTTACAAAAGAAGGATATTATTTACCCAAGACTTAAAATCGGCACTTATTTTGACGCCTTTTTGCGAGGCTTAACATAGAATGATTTAGCTTTCTCAACAAACCCAATCAACCTCTACCTTAGGAGGCACCTACCTGTGTAACTAGGTGCTCATCTTCTTTCTCTTATACCACCTAGACCACCTAGATAAATAGTCCCTTTTCCGGCAGAGAGCTGGTAGAGACACCAAGACAAAGAAGTTCAAGCCATGATATTACGCCTACATGCTACAGATTTATTTTTTCTGCATTTTTCTACGTTATGTCCTAACTCCTATGTTTTCATCATTATTATAACTATTTCTCCTCATATCCCTCGTATCTCACATTAAACCATCTCACGATGGTATTACACATGCATTAGTTCCAAGCTTTCCAAGCCAAAGCAATCCCAACCCTTATTGCTATATAATTCTGTCTGATAAACTTATCCGAAGACTATACCGGTTTTATTATTTACAGGTAGAAAAATGCAACCATTGCGGTGAAGACCAGCGCACCGACAGATCCAACCGAGATACGCGATGACCCGCTCTCGGGCGGTGCCGAAGTCTCACTAGGAGCACTGGGGATTGCTGAGGATGAGCTCGCTGAAACAGTAGCACTAGCGCTGGAGCTGGCGCTGGCGCTGGCTGTTGCACTTGCGCTAGTATAGGAGCTCGGTACACCACCGGTGCTGCTGGGTGCAGGAGCCGAGGGCCCAGGTGCCGATGAGACTGGAACCGATGGGGCTGGTGGAGCGGGTGATCCGGGTGTAGCAGTGGCCGTCGGGGTAGCTGGGGGAGCGGGTGCGCTGCCTGGTGGCGTGACTTGGACCTGGCCATCCGTGTGCTCGCTCACAGGCACATACGTGCTGGTTGGGCTGGGTGTTACCGAGGCGCAAGGCGTAGTAACCTGTTGCACTTGACCATCGCCGATCTGACAGATAGGAACAGGGACTGAAGTCGTAACAACCTGCGGTTGGCCGTCTGGCAAAGCGGTGACGATAGTAGTCTGAACAACGCTAGTACCGACAATTTGACCATCGGGTATCTGCGAGGCCGGCTCATCTGAACCGCATGGGACGGCGATGATCGAGACAGGCGAGCACTGAGGAGCCCAGTCGCGATCGTATAGGTTATAGAAGTCACCAGACAGACATCGATAGAAGGTCTTGGAATCTCCCAATGCGACAATGTTGTTCTCGCAGAGAGAAAACCCGCTGGTGTAGAGAGCACCAGCTTGGGCAGGAGCATCGAATTGGAACTGGTAGTTAGACGCGATGTAACCGGTTCGGTCTTTGGCGTCAAATGTTGAACCATCCTTCAACGTCAACACAAGAACTCCATCGCTGCCGCACTCGGCGCGCTTCTATTCAAACCGTTAGCAGCCATTATGCACATATCCTAACCAAGATCCGGCTTTAATATAAACCCGTCTTGTCCATACGTACCTGCGGCTGAGAAACGCTTCTCTTTTCAGTGACCTCTGCGACGCTGATCTCAAACTTGCCGTCGAAGCTACCTGTGCAACCAGCTGGTGCAGCGCCGGTCGGAGTTAGCTTGTCGGTGATGCCTTGAGGGGCCGCAATAGCAACGCTTAGAAGAGCGGAAACGAAAGCGAGCGTGGATCGCATATTGTAAACGTGGCTAAGGCTCTCTAAACGATTGGCAGTGTATGTTGGTGGTTGGTTGGAGTTGATAGATGCTTAGAGGGTGGTTGAATTATTGTACAGGCCGGTTTTAGTAACGAATGACTTTGCCTCCAATGTTTTACTCGTCGACTCTTGCCTCTCGTCCTACTCTTATTACGGGGCCTGTTCTGAACAGTAAAGGGATGGAAAGAAAACAGAGCAGAAACAGGTAGAAAGGGGGGGAGAGCAGCCCTTTTCACTTGTTTTATATTGTTATGTCTGTTCTCAGAGCCAGGATTCCTTTGGAACCGTACGCCTAAATCTCATTCGTTGGAATTTACCCTCCATACCTTTCACGTACGTATTCCACGTACATAACTACTACGTACGTATCCGACATCACATTGTTTTTGGTTCACATGTTGCATGTAAACAACCTTGCGAGTAGGCTGAATGTAGGGCGGTACTTACTCCAGTTTGCCCTTACAGCTAATATTAAAGTAGCTGAAGGGGTCAACCATCTACACCTGTATCTATATGTACTTGGTAGTCGAGTCCTCTAAATTTATGTGTCTGGAAGCTTCTTTGCTTGAAAACTGATGTGTGGTTTAAGTATTGCTCCTTTTTAGGCACAATAAAGTAAATCAACTAACCGTTCTTAGTATATACCTAGGTAGGTAGTTGTTACACTTACACACCTTCTTTATGTATCCTTTCGAAGTAGGTCTTATCTATTTTTCGGAGGGAGATCCAGGCTTACCTAGTTGACATTAATAAGTAAAATTACTACTCAAAGGAATTTAGTAAGTGATCATAGTTCTTAAGGTCTGACTTATTTTACAACTATACACCTTACGTACCTACCTAGGTGGATTGGTTCCTCTTTGCTTTTTCTTTGGGTGTACCATGTACACGTACATTTAACTGCAGAAAGGGCCAATTTGCGACCGATATGCATGCGCGTATAGAATGGCATGCTGAGAGGATCAATCAATATAGTTGGCCCAGCGCCTTTATCTTTCTACTTCAATATGCTAGGTACTGATACGTAGATTTAAGATATATGTAGGTAGTTACAATAAGAATAATATATATATTCCACCGGCTAATATGATAGCAATGCTTTTTATATTAAATATTAAGGTACCGTAGGTAGGTAGCTAAATTATAAAAACTTAACCAAATCCCCTTTTTATATAAATGTTTCCAGGTCTAAGATTGACTATTGTTACATAGAAGCTGTCAACTTACACAACGTGATTAAGATTGATATGTGTTACATATCACTACTGCAAGTAACCTCCGCCTCGCGGCTGTATTTCGCATCGTACTGCCGCCGATAGAGTGGATGAGCTGAATTAAGATTAGAAAACGCCGCGGTAACTTTGTGATACATACTTCGGTATGCATAAGGTAACTTGGCGTCACCTTAACAGCTCACTATTTTTCTACATAGTAATATCTTGCCTATTTAAGCCAGTGCATATCTCTTTATCTCTTCATTATGGTCGGTTCTAGGATCGAAATCAAGCTTTCACCCCCGGGAACCCCAAGACTACAACCCCAGGTGCCAATCGCCATTTCCCGTCCCACGGCGGCAATCGAACGTTAGTAACGTAGATCGGAGATGATCTTTCCTCCCTGGTAGTGATCCACTGGACCCACTGGCATGTAGGTGGGAAAATGGGAGATATGGGTTCTCCACGTTTGTTTTATTTTTCATCGTCATGTTCCAAATTAGTCTTTTCAAAAGTTTTTTTTTTTAAAAAATACCAAGTTATGGACCGTATTTCCTATGCTATCTGGCGTTCAATTAACTCCGATGTATATCACTACCTAACTTACTTGAATTCATTTTATAAAAATGCACGGTCTGATAGCGTAGTCTAAGGAGAGGGAAGGAAACGGGCTTATCAAAACGACGATCTGGATAGACACGAATGCAGCCGTGATTGGAAGGCTTGGCAGGATGCAACCCTCCGTGGAGCTAATAGTCCAGTCAAGCGCATAGATATGGCTATATGGGAAACAATATCGACCTGTTGTAGACGGGTTCCTTTTTCTCATTGGATATATACGTTCCATCCAAACTGGTCCGGTCACATTTCCAGACAAGAATCAAGAGTACCAAGACTTGAAAAGCGCAAGATGCAGGGGTAGTCGTTGCAATGTAGTTTACAATATGTATGATTAGTCTCTCCCCGGCTCGGCTCGGCAGGGGACGAGAAATGCAGGGATGACGACCGTGACGGTTTACAATACAATGCCGTCAATCCAACCCAACCTCTTCAATATAGCCATAGAAAGAACTTACCCCTTAAGCGTCAGTCCTACCCTACCATGTACTTCGTCAATGCGTCGGAATAATGACATCAATAAAACGAGTGGCGGTTGGAAGAGAGAGAAAAATGCACTTATTACCGGAGACTTGTCACTCCGCATCGCAGCACGAGATAATCTTATAAGAATGAGGTATCTACAACAACAACATGCATTCGAAGCATTACGGGGGATTAGTACGGTTCAGTAGGGGTCATAGATATCTTCTCGCGGTAGGGCGGCAATATGGCTCCATAATAGCCGAGATTATAAGGATAATATCACGAATGACTTCGTATCTTAAGTACCTACCTGTTATAACATATAATGCGGTGCTCGGCCGCGTAAGGTATGAATTATAAACACTGAACATTTTGGTAATTGCTGGTTCCGAGATGGAAATTCTCGATCTTGAATTCATGGCAATCCTCATAATAACAAGCACGTCTTAAGAGATTGGTTTGTAGTTCGTACACTGCTGTGAATTTCGTACTGACACAACGTAGCAGATATAGCAGGCGTAGCTACAACTAGTAGTCTCTCGTAGGACACTTAAAAACAATCATTTAGGGGGAATCATCTATGTGCAAACAACGGTAGCCACCGCATCTCTCCCATCCTTCATTCGCTCATGACTTCATGCAACCATATCCATTTCCGTTTTCCAGAAGACCTTTCCCTCGTTTAAAACCGTTTCGTGTAACCGTCTTATTTGGTCAGGATGCGTACCATATCCTGTACCACTTCTCTCGTTTCTGGTTCAAGTTGCCCTTCCGGTGGTCCGAGGACCTGCTGGAAGACATTTAGCAGCTTCGGCGTCAGCTCTTGCACCGTTGGGTTTGAGAGCACATCTGGAAGTTTATAGTCAGCATAATATCCTCGAGGTAGTTCCACATGGCCATTTTCAGGCGGCGATGACGAGATAGAGTAGGATGTGTAGGCTTACATAGTTTGTGCAGGCACTGATAAACAGGCTTGTTCTCCTCGTAGTCCTCCTTTAGAGGCAGTAAGTCAACAAGAACAGGCAGTACGTCCGCAATCGGAACCTGGTCGGGATGGGCCAGTATCATGCGACATAAGCAACCAGCGGCGTTGTCTTGCAACCGGGCGTCCTTGATCTGCAGTAAGGGCTCTAACTTCCCTAGGATTTGGTTATAAGCAGGAAGGTACGTCTTTGCATCTTCTGAATGGTAAATAAGTTGTCCGGTTGCGTACGCCGCGTTGGATTTGGTCTCTTTATCCTCATCGGAGAGACGATGCAGTAACGGGCGTAACAATGTTGAGGTATAAGGTGTCACTCCACTGCTCATGTATGCGACGCATTCGGCTACCACACCGACAGCGGTTGATCGCTCAATAGCCTCGTTAGAACTTAAGAGTTTGATGATGGGCTTCTCAAAAACCTTCCAGACTTCGGCAAACTGCGGGCCTAGGGCACAGGCGAGACCGATCAAAACATCTAAAGCGGTGTCTACTACCAACCAATCCCACTCGGAGCTCCCTTGGGTCTCTTCCTGGTCGTCTTCCTCGCCGAGATCTAGCTGGCAGGGGTGCGATCGGGTAATGATGGTACCGAGTATGGTCACGACCTGCTCCATCATATCCTTCTGTCCCAATATGGCCGGGCCACAAGTCTTCAGCGTGGAAGCAACACTGCGGTTGATCTCCGTGACAGCGTCCCTAATGAATGTTAGCGTCCGGCTTGCCTCTATCATTCAATGCAAAAAATGTATATGGAAATGGTTAAAATCAGATCTAGTTCAAATACGTGTTCTCAGCAACCGCATAGAGCGTCTGAGTGAGCTGGGTATAACGTAAAGTAGTCATCATTGGAACCAGGATAAAAAAAAAAAAGTAGCAGGTGCACAGAAGGAATAACTTACCGGTCGGACTCATCGGGCCAGATATGTAACGTAGCGGTAGATACGATCTCGCCAAGCTTGGCGATGTTGGCAACCGGCTCCAGCTTAAGGGGAAAACCAGGTTCCCACTTACGACCGGTTTGCTTTTCCATGACTTCCCATACGCAAGCATAGGTTCGCCAAAGGGTTCCAATGGCAGTCTTGCGGCACCCCTCGTACGAATGCTCAGCGAAGGGAGCTACAAGCTCTATAGCCTTTTCAATGTAGGGAGTGCTCTTCTCTTTAGCGGCGTAGATGACATCGCCTAGCACCTCTAAGGCAATTTCTTTCTCAAATGCTTGTGCGGAAACGCCGACAAGGTCGTCCCAATCGTCGTCATCGTCGTCATCATCCATAAAATCCTCGTCTTCGTCATCTGCACCCCCGGCACCTTTGACCTTATTCTTTTTGCTGTGCATGACAACCTCCTCGTCGACAAGGCCATCTTGATCTTCTGGGAGGTCGAACTCAACTTCCTCTTCCTCTTGTTCTAGGCTGTCGAATAAACCCTTGAAGATGCCCGCGAGGGATTCACCGAGGTCCCCTTCGTATACGGTAGCCAGCTGGCTCCATAATATGAATGTAGTCTCTCGGAGGCGTGGATTACCAAGGTGAAGAGCCTTCTCGCTGGCCACTAACAACGGCAAGACATACGGGCTGAACTCTTGTGCACCGACACCGACAGCGATGCGGCCCATAGCGTCACATACTGAGCTTCTCAACGCGAGCTCCTCCTCACCACTCTCCACCATGATGTAGGAAGACATGGCTTCCATAGTCTGCTTGAGAAAAGGAATGAATGCGCTCTTGATAGAGACGGCGATGGCACCAAGCGCACCTGCTGCGGCAGACTTGACCTTGGGGTCTGGATGCAATAAGAACGTTCCAATACGATGTATCATGCTCTCTCCATACTTAGCCATGATGTCGGCTCCTAACCCCTCAGCCATAGAGTCGATGGCGCCACAGACGGATCGAATGATCTCGACATTTTTCTTATCAGACTCATCACCGCTAGCTGCATCCAAGTTCAATACCAAAGCGGTCATGATGCCATCATGATGAGGAGACATGGTATCAGATAGATCCTCGCCCAAGCGTATGAGACCCAGAAGAGCCGCATGGCGAACACTTTGCACGGGATCCTTGAGGAGGTTTAAGACCATAGGCATGACCGACGCTATCTGGGTAGACACGAACTCGGGCGCACCTTCGGCACACGTGCCCAGGGCGAGTACACAAGCCTTGCGTTGCCCCGGATTTTGCGAGTTGGCATAGGCGGGAAATTCGTCAAGCAACGATACGATAACCTGTCTCGGCGGCAAGTCTGTAGCCAACTGATCTATCAGAGACAGGGCCGTCCGGGCGGGTGTTGTGTCTTCATCGTCGTCATCATCCGCTAACTCGGATAGGATTATCAAACTCTTCTTCATGAGCTGTGAACCCATGTCAGGGATGCCTTGGATCTTCATCCGGCGGTATTTGACACACTGCGCGAGGAAGGAAATTGCTTGAACCCTCACGTCATCCTCAGCGTTGGTGTTGATGGCAAGGTCAAGCATGAACTGGACTAAGTCTTTAAAGTAACGCGATATCAAAGCAGGGTCATAAGCCAAGAAGGACTGGAAGACTTCAAACGACTGCTGTATTCGCTCGTCATCACCACTGTCAACAGCATCTTTGAGCACGTCGACCATGGTAGGAACGAACCCCTGGACGATATTGACGGATTGTTCATCGTCGTCGCAGTCGATCAGCATCAGTAAAGCGCTAATAGACTGCATGGTATTGACTCGCACGTCACGACTCTGGGGATCTCGAATAGTCTTGGCGAAGACCTCAAACAGGGTGGAGAGGTGATCTTCAAAGTAGGCCGGGTTCGCTTCTAAGAGGCTGAATATGATGTAGGAGCCGACCTCACGGTGGGCAACATTGTCGGAATTAGTCAACTGCATGACGGCAGGCAGTAGGTCACCCCATTGCTCATTGTTGAAATCAAGCGTTGCGATAGCAGCAATAATACGGGATTGGCCATGACGGCACTTAGCGTCTTGCTCTCGAACGATGGCTTGGAGGAGCTCGTTGCGCACAGCGGGCTTCTGGTCGTCGGCAATCTTCTCCCAGTGCTTGGGAACGAGCCGTAAAGCTTGGACAGCAGCTAGCATGCGAACTGTGGCTTCGGGATGGGAAACTATGACATGAAGCAGGCCGAGTAAGGAATCCGGGTGAGGATAGAAGTTCTTGCGGAGCTCAGCAGTTGCGGCCTTAACCTTCTGCGTGTCAGCTATGAAGTAAGGCAAAAGAAAATGTTAGCAAATCTGAGACTAGCTAATTCTCGGTTCTATGTGTATATATCAAGTACTTACGAATTTGAGATGCCTGGAGCAGCTCGACGAGCCTTTGCTGATCCATCGCGAAGGGAAGTCAGCGTAGAAGTTCTGGCGTTTCTTGAGCGTATATAGTAACTAAAGAAATAGAATTGACTGGGTTACGTCGACGACGTTACGTCTACGACGTGGTCCTTGGCCCAGATTCTTATTCCTTTTCTAACGCTGCTCCTTCGTTGACGATGAAGAGTTAGGCAACAATAAGGACTGAAGAGAAGAAAAAGAAAAAAAAATATTTAAGATGTTTTGGAAATTGTTAGGTGGGGTCTGTCGCATGGAAATTTTAAATTTTTACTGGGGACCTCTGATAAGATATGATAAGTGATTCGCTAGCCAAGTTACAAAGGTATTTTACCCCTCTATTTTCTACCCCTCCAATATGCTTTAAGTAATTAATACTCTCTTTTACATATCTTTAGGGATCTATGCATAAAATCTAGTAAGGGGTATTGTACCTGAAATATTTCCAATTTTACCTTCCATAACTGGAATTACTTCGCTCAATCATTGGAATTCCAAATTCCATTATAATAATCTATTGGTATGGAATAGTCTCCATATAGTCCCCCTCTTCAATGGTCGATCGTGTCCTTACATACCTAGGTAGGTACATAATTTATATACTAGTTACCTCTCTTCTACCCAAACAAGAATGTTTTCAAAGCTTCGTCAAACCATGCATGAGGTAGTTCCTAACATCAAACGTCTGCTAAACAATTAGTAGTCCGGGAAAGGGTTAACTCACCATATATCTATTATGACGTTACACTGCTGACCTTATGAGGTTTCTCAGTATACCAAATTCAAGCGCTGTAATTTTGCCAAAAAAAAAAAAATGATAACCGTGGGATCGCGCTTTTCCTACTCCAGCGTCGTCGACGTTACTTTGTGCCTCGATGGTGATAGTTTGGTTACCTAGCGTCACTAGCTCCGACACGACATTAGACGATTGGGAGAGGAAGATGGAAGAGTACAAGGCGTCCTCGGAGCTGAAAAGCTGAAAGGACCAATATTCTTGGCAACAAGCTGAAGGTCTCTCACAATCTCAATCAATATAACTTTTACATTCATCCAGCTCGTTAGTCGGACCAATGTAAGATTTATCAACTTCAAGTGCGTGGTCATAACAGAAGAAAACCCCAGAAACCATGGGGCGCGCCTTGCTATCCTTCTCAGTTCGGCTCGGGCTGCTTCTCACAGCTTCGGCCTCCAGGCTCCTTTTCCAGCCCCTCCCTACGCAGGCTAGAGATGGCGCATTTGCGACATTACAGCCTATGCCTACCACGGCCCCGGAATATTACGCGTCAATCGAGCTGTTGAGGCGCGACGAATACCACATGGGCCATGATACATGCGGGTTTGGTGCTCTCGACCGTAAGAGCAGAGCTCTTTGAGTAATGCGCTGCGTAGGGAGCCTAGCTAACTTAATTCTGTAGCTGGTATTACTTATAAATGTTACTCAGATATCGGAACATGCGAAAATATTAGCGGCTACAGGGGATGTTGTACGGGAGAGCTGAAGGCATGTTCGTCGAGTTTTTGGACCCAATGTGACGATTATGATCCGATGAGTTACTGCGGCATGAGTTCAAAGACGCGTTGCTGGTAAACACCTAATTATACCCTATCATTCTTCGGGTCTAAGTTAACTCACCATGCAATAGTCAGTCGGGACTACCATACTGCATCACCTGGTTATTCTCTGTAAGTACAAAAGGACAAACCCCTGAACGGTATAAGCTCAGGTGTTTCTGGCTTCGGATGGCCACGCCACAGCCCCCGTAGCCTTTCTTAAGGGGAGAGGTGCTAATTCGATTATCGAAGACGAGTGGTTCAACCGTTTCAGCATGGGACTGTGATTCGCAAAGCAAAACTCGAGAATTTGAGCTACTAGCTACCCCCTTAAGCCTAATTGATAGCGCGACATCGTCGACTACGAACGATTTAACGACCACGTCTTCAACGCACGAGCCTGATAATTCACATTCCGTAGCAACAAGCAGTTCGACCGTTTCATCCTCAACATCGATAGACACCACCACCGTGCCCTTGAGTAATAGCTCCGGGACTCCCATCGGAGCTATTGTCGGCGGGGTTGTGGGCGGCGTTGCTGTTATCTGCTTGACTATCCTAGGCATCTTCTTCATCAAGAAGTACCAGAAGGGCACTCATACAACCGCATCAGCGCCACCAATTCTTTCTGGACCTCAGGAACTTCTTGGCTCCGGAATGTCTTCTCCCTATCCGACTCCTTCCCATGGGAACTACGCTCCCATCTTACAACACGACGCTTCGGGACAGCTTAAGTATCAAGCTCCGGTAGCGCAAGCAACACAAGTCGCCGAGGCACCGTATACCCCCGCCACTGGGACAGGGTACAATCGAGCCGAGTTAGGATAATGGTGCGAGGACTATGATTTATGAGACTCATATTTCCCAGGTACATAGATGGGACACTGTACAGAAATATACCAATTATGATAATATACGGTTAGCAGGAACCGGCATGAGGTAGAAAGGGTATAAGTTTGCTTTTTGGAGACTATTCAGCGGAACTTATTATTATGATATAAAACACTGAGTGCACATTTTATATCATCTTCCCCGTATATTCACTAGATATAGTGGTAGTTTAGACACTTGTCCCATTCACAGCCATTTTATATGTAAATATTAGGGGGCTTAATATTGGCATCCGGCATGAATGGAGCGTGGGAACTTAGGTAGTTATCATTTATTTGGGTTCCTATTAGTAAATACATATACTTGGTGTAGACTTTTGAAATCTCCCAATAGTAGAAAAGTACCTGTATGATAAAATGGAGGTATTCTTTTCGGATAAAATTAGGTAGGTACTTAACATTCTCGGAATTAGGGGTGAGTTGTGCTAAGGGCTTGCTTGACGTAACTTCGAACCGAACAGATTTACAATCTGCTTGCCTTGTAGAAATGTAAACTGGAAAAGTTACTTAGGAAACTCTAACCGAAAGTAGGCACCTAAGTTATTAAAAGGTGAAACTACCTACGTACATACGTTAGCTAAGAGAGGTAACTATCAGTGTCTAGAAGATACCTTATTCCTATTTACTTTTGAGTAAAACAAATATGCCATCCCAGGCCATATCTCTTGGGGCGATGCTATTTATATACATTTGCTACAATATATTTTACATCAATTAGCCTTAGGTTATATTTTTACTGGATATACGTAAAGCTGGGCTAGGAATCCGAACGCAAGGTGGACTGGTACCGAATCCCGAACAACCCCGTCTGATTACGGACAAGCATCATCTTTCAAAGACGACGTAAATGCCAAGATGAGACGACATTCGAGAAAGAAGGAGAAAGCGGTAGTTGACTATAGGCACCGTTGGCCGACCCAACAAACACTATACGAGTCTCGAGTACTTCAAGAAGGAGAGGTTAAAGACAAGCCGAAATCACGACGAGTCAAGGCGCTTGAGGCAGTCTCGATTCCCCTACTATGGATAAATATGAAGATTGAGTCTTAGCAAGACGGAATTGACGATTATGTAGAAGCAATAGAGTCACGGAACCAGAAAGGACCGAGCGCATCGACATTGCCTGACAATCCTAGGAGACGAGACTCTATATCTGCGAATACTAAACCTGGCAAGAGCACGCACCCCTACGATACTGGAGTTGAAGACACAACCGCAATAATTAGGGACGACGGACAAGTAACACCCGCGTCTCGCCATACGGAACGAACCGATACCGAGAGAGAGCAAATGCCACAAGCTCCGGATCAGTCACGAAAGAACAAGAAAGTCAACTCAGCTTCCAGTCTCCGGAATCAGACGTATGCGCCTACGCCGCAGAGAAGGAGCAAATTAACAGTTACACCGGAATCTCAGGCCAGTTGCGAACGCTCGAACGAACGCAGAACTAAGTTCCGTAGCATTCTTGGACTAACCAATAATAAAGCGAAGACGTCAAATACTGGTCCTTCAGAACGCGTATCGACATCTCTAGACCAGCTTTCGATAGAACCGGAGTCCCAAGTAGAAGAAAGCCGTCAAGAATCTTGGTGGTCCTTCAAGAGGCGGATGGGCACACATGATGGAGATAGAGACATGATCTCCGTCCCAGCAAAGAAATTAAGGCCTCACAATAAAGAGGACAGGAGCAACATGGAGGAAACGGCAAATGCCCGAAGGGTGCGGAATAGCGGTGCAAATGGTCGCGGAAGCGGTTATATACGGGATAAGATGAAGAAGAAGAAGGAGGAATCGTCGGAAAGAAACGTCGACCAAGCGAAAAAAGCATACGGTGAAACGGAGAAAACGGAGAAGGAATCTTTATCTCCACGAACAGACGCGGAACTAGCTAAAATACCGGGGCCATCAAAGCGGCGCCGAAGGAGCATATCCTCAACCCAGGTTCGTGCGAGTACGGCCGGAACTAATTCCACACCCAGCAACGTAGCAACGCACAAGGATATCGCTCGAGAAGAATGGAGGCATCAAACCCCGTCTCCTATGATTCCCACTCAGGTTTTGCGATTGCTGCTAGGTCCCGGGAAGTCGCCGTCACCGAAAATAGGAACACAGCTAGACCGGGAGGATATCGAAACTCGTACATCAGTATCATCCACGGCTATGCTGGGACGACAAAGTCGGGAGGGTCGTACTTCTGGCAGACAGTCGACGGAACAGAAAAATAGAGCATGGATTCCATTCTGGGTATCATCTCGGCCGCAGGTAGGACTTTCAAGGCATGATAATGCCGACGGGGCGGCAAGACAAGAAGAAGATCTTGCGGAGCCGAGTACGGGGGAGCAGAGGAGGATCACACGCAGGAGATGGAAAAGTGGATAGATGGCCCCATGCTCGACCGGAAGAATGAGAGGGAGAGCTTACGCTTTGTATAAGGCAATGATCATTGTTATATAATATTCTTAACTAGCAAATTAGGTACCTAAATGATATATTTTTATGATTCTGGACAGAGGAGTAAGATGGTGGTGAAGCTGCAGAATGTTGACATGCAAGATTCCCGCAAGGTTATCAGATATGGAAACCAGGTCGGTGGTCGGTGGTCGGTGGCATCGGAAAAAAAAGCCTCGAAATGTACCTGCATGCTGACGCGATTTGAAGCAATCCATCGAAAATCGGGGTGGGGTTTGTCGTAGACTTTGCAGGCGTCGGCACCGCGGACGGCTAGTAGAACTACCTACTACATGTAATCAGGATGTAATTACCTACCTAAAGGTAGGAGGTACCCAAATAGGTGGGGTGGAGGGGTCAACTAGGGGGAAGTTACCTTCATAAAGCGGAAGAGCGAACAAGCTGTACAATGTAAATGTCGTTACTGCTGATAAATCTCGACGACTAAGGACTCATTAGCGCCAATTTTTATACTTAAACCTCTCTCGTCGCGCTCTCACTATTGGTGTTGCTCTTCCTTTTACTTATTCGAAGCTGAATATCTCCCTTCTTTCTGTCATATCTATATCATAGTTCTCGCCGCGCATCACCTCGTAATCTTCTATTCATCGGGACGCATATAAAAGATAAATATCTGCCTCAAGTACCTAACCCATACTGAGAATTCAAGATGGCTTCAAATCCTCCCGGAGACTGCTGTGTCAAGGGTGTCAAGCACGAGTAGGTTATTCCTATACTTGATATATCTCACTATTCTATGGATCCTTATACTAACTTCGTACTGTTATTTAGGGGCACGCCCACAGGTGCAGACATCAAGGTAGGCATACACCAAGCCTACTTAGCTACTCCCGAGCCATCTACGGCCAAAGATGCTGCTATCCTGTTTATCCCCGATGTCATCGGTATCTGGCAGAACAGCAAGCTGATGGCTGATCAATATGCCGCTAACGGCTACCTCACCCTCATCATTGACCCTTTTAAAGGCGACGCCTTATCCCTAAACCGCCCCGAGGGTTTCGACTTTGTGTCTTGGCTGTCCAAAGGCTCTACTGGCGACAATCCTCACACTACGGAGGCTGTAGACCCCATTATTGAAACTGCTATTAAGTATCTCACGGTCGAGAAGGGCTTCAAGAAGCTGGGAGCCGTCGGGTACTGTTTCGGAGGAAAGGTATGTTTAGATTAGTTATTATGTCTTCTTTCCATACGTTTAATCTGCTAATAATCACTTATGTAGTACGTCGCCCGTCACTACAAGAGCGGCATCCAGGCTGGCTTTATGGCACACCCGTCCTTTGTTGATGAGGATGAGCTTGCGGGGTTCAAGGCACCGCTATCCATCGCGGCTGCTGAGACGGATCATATCTTCCCGGCCGACAAGCGCCACAAGTCTGAGGAGATCCTAGCTCAGGGCGGATTGCCCTACCAGATCAACTTGTACTCTCAGGTAGTCCATGGATTTTCCGTCCGCTGCGATACCAGTAAAAAGGTTGAGCGCTTCGCTAAGGAGCAGGCCTTCCTACAGGCTGTGACCTGGTTCGATAACTGGCTGTTATAACCGGATGGCGAAGAGACACCGACGAAGGGAAGGCTGTGAAGGAACTTCGAGATAATCTAGATATTCCTTGATAGTTATTAACTGATGCTAAATCTTAACTACCCGTTATATATATATTTCATACTGAGGGTGAGATTGTGAATCATGCTTGTGGTAGTTTGGGTATATTTATTAAGTACCTAAGGTGCTCAATTACCCAGCAGCATTATCAGCCTTATCAGCCTTATTCGCGGCTAAAAGTTGACTCTGCAATCCCTTTTTTCCTACGTGCATAGCTCTCTCTAATTCCCGCTCCTCCTCTCGTAGGGCTGCTTTTCCGTATTCTAGTTGCTTCTTTTGCCTTTGCTTTTCTTCTGCAACAATGCGCTCTCGTTCTTCAAGTGCTTTCTCCCGCTTTCTCCGTTCCTCTTTCGCCTTGCGTGCCGCCTCGCCATCGTCGTCGGCCTCATCTCCTGCGGGTGGCGGTCCTAACGTCTGAATATATGCCTCTATTAAAGGGTCCCGGGTCTGCGGGTCCAGGCTGATGTAGCGCAAGTCAGCCAGTATTTGAGGAGGGAGGTTTTCTAGATGGGTCTTGTTATTTAACGAGCGGAGAGGGATACTGCGTAAAAGCGCAGCTAGATCTTTCTTGAGGGTATCTTGGGGTAATTTTAGTCGATTGATATGCTCACGATACCACTTCTCCCGATCGCGATCGTTTAGGTTGGTGTCACGCATGGGTGCTTCCTTCTTGTACTTGCGCCGAAATTCTGGCCAGTAGAGCTTTGGTGTAGCTTTCTGCTGGAGAAATGCCAAGTACGGGATCCGGGGGTCCTTCTTTTCCTCTTTCGCACGCTGCTCTTTGAGAATTTGTATTCGTTCGCGACTCCACTCTTCCCAGGCATCTTTACGTGCCTTCATCGTATTAAGCACCGTGTACCGTCCGTCTTCAATGATGCGGCCCTCTTCAATGAGTTTTTCCCATGACGAATAAGGATTAATACCATAATCGTTTAGTAAATCTTTGAACAGCTCTCTCGCGTCCGTCTCAGATAGGGGAAGACCTTCAGCGCCTTCAGGCCATGCGTCCGGGTTACCGTCGTCGTACTCGCCCGGATCTAGACCGTACTCATCTCCCATCGCTTGTAACTGGTATGCGATATCGTCCTCGTTGAATTCTACCGGTAGGTCTTCGATAGGCTCTTCCGTGCGCTGTCGTTTCGGAGGGCGCTCATTGTCTTGGCCTTCATCTTCCATCGCTTCGCGGATCTCCTCTTCTTCGCCTTCGTCATCTGTGACCTCAACCTCTTCATAATCAGAACCTAGTTCTACTTGATCCTCGGTTTCTCCCGCCGCGTCTTTTGTTGTAGGGGTTCTCGTTTGCGGTTCCGCGGACGGGGATATAGATGTCCCAACATCCGCTCCCCCAACTTGCGTGCCTGTGGCCTTCTCTTTAATCCCTCTAATGTCTAGTTCTAATACTCCCTTCATGACCTTGTCGGGGATCCGCCAATAACTCGCATTTTTGACGGGATTATACGCGAAGCGCCGACCATACTTGGTGTACACTAGCAACCATGGCTCACAGCCCGGTATGGCAACTTTGGATTTTGGCTTGTCTGCCGGCTGAGGGCGGGGACGATCTTTTCCTTCATGATGACCGCGGTGGCCGCCACGGCCGCCATGCTGTTGCTGCTGCGCATGACGTTGGTGTGCTGGGTCGTACTGAGCAAGGAAGGCATTGGCAGTCGCGGGATCGGAAAGTTGAGGAACGGTGGAATACTGGAGGAAGTTGGCGTGAGGGCCCTGTGGAGGAGGAGGTGAAGGTTGTGAAATAGAAGTAGCAGTAGTAGTAGGTAGAAACGACGCCTTTTGACGATCATACGTGGATTCCCCCGTGGCCGCGTTGTGGTAAAAAGTATGGCCCGTGGGAGCTTTGTGCTCTGTCCAACCGGGAAGTAAAGGTAGTGGCGGCGGGTTCGACGAGGGCTTATATGTGGATTTCAACATATTATAGAGAGTTAACGAGGTAGGGAGGGAAATTCGATGTCGCAAAAGGTGGCTCTTATAAACACTGACGGATGTAAAATGTATTTTGACCAAGTCTTTGCGAAAGGAAATGAAGTTTTAAGCTTAAAGGTCACCGAGGTGAAGTTAGTACCTGTTGAGGTTTAGTCCCGATAGTGGGGGCTGCAATCCTAAAGATGCCGCCAACCTGGCTAGCCTTAGGTACAATACGTTAAGTACCTAAGTGCCTACATGTAAGGTGTTACCTCTTGTACGCGCCTAAAATAAATCTCGAATGCGCTAATCGTCATCTAATCTTCTGATCTCATACCCTAAATCAGGCACGCGACCTCCAACTTTCATCCTTTCTTAACGCCTTATAAGGTACATACCAATACAAAGTTATTTACCATTTCCTAATCTGTTATGTTGTGGAGTATTTTTAAATCTATACGGGGACGGTGACTTGCAGCTATTGCAACTATGACGCCGCGGAACGACTCTTTCCAGCAAGGAGGGATCTTAGGATCAGTAGCTAAGTTTTGGACTGTATGGTGATCCTTTTTATTTCTTCGTACTTAACCCATCAGACTCTAGAGTAATTCTAACTAATTCTCAAGCATTCATATGCTCCCGACTATGTAGGATTCGCTGGCCTGTTGACAGCCTACCTCTTGATTCAATTTTTCGTCGAACCTTTCCATCGCATGTTCTATATCAATAACCTAAATATTTCATTCCCTCACGCCGAAGTCGAGCGGGTTCCAGTCTGGTTAAACTTTGTTTACGCTCTGTTCGTCCCTCTCGGATTTCTGCTGCTATACAATAGTTTAACCCGAGCCTCGTTCCACAAACATCACAGCACTATTCTCGGCCTTGCCATCGCCCTCATCCTCAGCTCGTTCCTTACCGACATTGTAAAGAACACCGTTGGCCGCCCCAGGCCGGACCTAATCGCCAGATGCAAGCCTATCGCTAGCACTAAACTTAACGTCTTGGTGACTATCGATGTATGTACCGAGACAGATCACCATACCCTCCACGATGGCTGGCGTTCTTTCCCCTCAGGACACTCCAGCTTCTCCTTTAGCGGTCTCGGGTACCTGGCTTGCTTTCTAGCCGGCCAATTGAGGATATTCCGCGATAGGAAGGATCTTGGTCGTTCGTTGGTTTGCCTTGCGCCCCTGGTTGGTGCGGCTATGATTGCCATCAGTCGCTGCCAGGACTATCGCCACGACGTATACGACGTCTGTGTAGGATCAGTACTGGGGTTTACAGTCGGATTTTTCAGTTACCGAAGGTACTGGCCGCGTCTGAGCAGCCGTGAGTGCGACGAGCCGTACCCGGCGCCTGGTACCGAGATCGAAGATAGGGAAGGCTGGAGGAGAATCCGAGATGAAGAAGAAGGCGGGTTAATCATAGGAAGAAATGCCGGGTATGAGATGGCTAACTTGATAGAAAATCCTAGCTAACATATGTTTATTAGATAATCGAATCGCGGAGACACCGAATTAAATTTTACGGAGTGCATATATTGTGATATGTCCAAACTATTGTTCGATATATTTTCTACTATTCGTAGAGTGGCATCTACGCAGGGTTCAGTTGGATGCCGTATGGTTATATTTATCTCCTTGTAATCGGGCCCCCGAAGAGGATCTGGATGATTTATAGTCCGTCTTGGCCTAGAGGTTAATCTGTAGGTTGGTCTCTAGGATGTGAGATAGTGTATTTATTTAACATGTATATAGAATAAGTAGGCCCTGAGGGTAGAGCTGGTAGCCAGGATACGGGTAGCCTCTATGATATCCCAACCGTAGCTTCCTCTTTTCTTGTTCGTAAAAAGTGTTCTATAGATACCTAGGTAGCTTCCTTTGATATTACGGATTCCTATTCGCTTTTTCTTTATTTTATTATTTATATTTTATTAATTTTTTTTATTTTTCATCGCTTTTAATTTCCCCCTATCTCCCTCCCTGATGCGTCAATCAGGGAATTTCCTATACGTAGATATTTATCAGTTGTATAATAACCCCACTATATGTACCAGCCACCATGCAACCCCACCCCCCAAAATCTGTCGCCTTTTTTACGCGTGAACAATTTCTAGTCGATACTCGGTACTTAGATAGTGTCTGTTAGTGCTTAGCCTTGTTTAGGCGGGTTGCCCTAACAACGTCCATTATCTCAAGGAGGTAGCCTGAAGTCAACTTCATAACTGATACATCTATTCGATTAAAGTGTGAATTCTCTCTTTCTTTTCTTCGCGCACTTTCTCCATTCCTTCTCCTTCTCACTATCACCAACACAAGTTTATCATTCCCTCTCCTTTTCTCTCCAATATCTAAATCATCATCCCATTTATCACTTTTAGTAACTTGGTAAAAGTGGACGCTCCCAGAGCTTACACTATTTTCAGGATCACCGATTCTTGGCAACCGCATCTATTCCTACCCCAGGTTTCCAGATTCAGTAACTCAACTCGTTACTACCTTGGGTGTTAGATAGTATACTATTGTGTTCCGTTTTATATTTGTTCAGCTGCGGCTTCTAATAATCACAACGATATAATCACCACTTAGAGGTATAGCCTCTCCTGATTCTACCATATAAATTACACTTGTTTATTAAACTACCTTCTATAGGGTGATATTTCAAACCGTGGTCTAGAATGCCGCGACATAATGGCGGCGTCAAGCACGAACGTGGTGGCTCACCGGTGCCAAGTATGAGATCAGGGACCATGGGCCCGCCCTCTCCAAATCCTCTCAAGCGGAAGGTTCCTCCTAGTGAGAGTTTTCATTCCACGGCCCGAACGTTCAATCGCTCTCATGCCCGTGAGTAATTATTCCCTCCCCTACCTATTCGATCCCCTTCATTATTACTAAATATTCCTCGCCATATAGCTAGTGCCGAAACACGCCCGCGAAGGGATGACGAAACAGAGCCTATCTTCATGGAAATGAGGTACCGGCCGGACAGCCTCAGAGGCGGCCAGCAAGGCTCTCCAGTATCACAGAATGCCGATGCCAGCTTTCTCCAGCAGAGTTTTTCGCATCCGACCTTTGCCGATATTGGACTCAGACAGAAGGCTTGTAACGATACATTAGGAGACCTTCAGACTCTCGGCGTGTCTCGTAAGTAGTATTCCCTCTAGGGCTCTAGCAGCCTACGTTGCGTTGCTGGAAATACCCCCAAGCAATAGCCCACTCATAGCTGAGGCGTACTTGCTAACTACCTATGTACTTCTAGATGTCGTCCCCCTTCCTGAGCTTGTTCTTGTTGGCGACCAGTCGTCCGGCAAGTCCAGCCTGATGTCAGGTCTAGCTCGTATAAACCTCCCGAGGAGTGCTGGCGTGTGCACACGCTGCCCTCTTCATATTCGCTTGATCAGTAGCAAGACCGATCATTGGTCATGCACCGTCTCTCTACAACAGGATTATGATTTCCAGCCACACCCTGATCGTAAACCGGAGCTATCAGATGTTACAGCGGCAAAGCCGTTCCCTCCCTGGGTTAAGAGCAACCACCGGGATATCAAACCGTTCAAGACTATCTTTAATCCCTCCGAGATTGAAGAGGTTCTCCGCTGGGCTCAGATTGCAATACTAAATCACAATCGTAACTTTGAGATTTTCGTCCCCGGTGAAGGTGCTTTTGCTAAAGAAACACCCCTCGATGGTGAGTTAATGGCCGCTTCATGTTATAGGCGATTCAAAATAGTTCTTACTAAACGACGCCCTTGCATCCCGAGTTTCCGTTTTCAACTCTACGATTACGTTTTAGCTAACCAATTCTCTAGTTGCGGCTCGAGAGACAGATGCCCAATTCTCTCCGAACATCGTAGCCTTGGAGATGAGAGGACCTGGGCTTCCAGATCTAAGTTTCTACGACCTGCCTGGCGTCTTCCAATCCCCAGAAAAAGAAGAGGATATGTACGTGGTGAAAGTCGTCGAGAATTTGACACTTGACTATATCAAACGACCCAGGGCAATTATTATGTGGGCTCTTCCGATGAATGTTGATGTGGAAAATTCCATTTCTTTAAGTATCATCCGCAGGGCCAAAGCGACTGGCCGAACAATCGGTGTTATGACAAAGGCGGACCAACTCCCTCCTCAGAACATTTCCAACTGGTTATCTATGTTCCAAAATGACAAGCAACTGGTTGGGCATGGGTTCTTTGCCACATCGCGTCCGCCGGATCAAGCTCTGGAGAACGCAGCAAAATGGGAGGAACTCTTCTTTAATCGCGAAATTAGCGGTATTCAATGGCCTACTGAATTCGCAGAATTCAAAGACCGCTGTGGTGTCGAGGTCCTACTAAGGGTAAGTGGCCGCACTCGTAATGCTTTCAGTTTGCCCAGCTACTACTATACCCCCGGTGAATCTTACGAGCTGCTTGAGTATTGGAGGAGCTAACTGGTGGTTTATCATAGTACCTGTCCTCTAAGCTTGGGGAAGCTTTTACTGAGAGTCTTCCATCGATTAAGAATACGGTCTTCACCCGTCTCAAGGTTGTCGAGAGCGAATTGGCCGCCCTGCCCGAACTTCCTCCCAACGTAGAATACGAGGTGAAGAAGAGTCTATTTGATTTCCTTCAGCAGATGAAAACCGCCATGAAGAATACTGCATTTTCTTCTGAATGGAATGCATTAAACAGCCAATTTCAAGAATGTATATTTAGAATAAAGCCGACATGCACGGTCAAAGATTCGGAACGTCAGACAATCGACATTTCTGGAGATGGTTCAGAACCTACCACACCGACACCACATAGGCTGAGGCCTAATGATTCAACTATACGAAACACCACAACCCCCAGCAGGCGACAGCGCCAAGAAAATGCCAGCACTCCTGTAAAGAATGAAGACATCCCGATGGGAATATCACGCACATCATCCGTCGTTGGAGGTCCAGGGACGGGTGTGTCGGACCCATTCGCCAAGTATTCTAATCTTGGTCGATTTGGAATGGACATTAAGGATATCCGGAGCGAGATTCTATCAAAGAAACGACCTGGCATGCCGCGAGACTTAGTCCCCGACGAAGTTCGCGAGAATTTATGCTTGAAAGCGGTTAGGAAGTGGGAAGCACCACTAGAAACCTATATCAGCAAGACAGCGGAGCTGCTAAAGAAGACGGCTAATGCCGCCCTGGAAAGCTCCCTAGAGTCGCTGCGCAGCCGCTTAATCTTCAAGGACTGCAGGAAGTATTTAAGTGAATTTATTGACAAGACAGTTGCTAGCCAAAGGGCACGCCTAGAAGAAATATTCGGATCCGAAACGTATCAGCTTTACATGATGAACGACGATGCGTTCCATCGTTATAAAGCACAGGAGATGGAAATACTTACACGCATGCGAAGCATCCTACGTCTAAAGGCCTTGACTTTGATCGACTGGAATTACCAGGTTCAAAAGTTGGAAAAGATGTCGGAGGATGAAAAGGCCAAGGAACGGAAGATGCTTGATACCAACCTCCAAAAAGCTGGGAAAGACCCCTACGATACCGAAATTGAGGTGGCTGGCTTTGTTCGTGGATATTACATGAGTACGATCTTCCCAGTGGCAATTCCGACTTGATTGTTCTTGCTAATCATATTATATGAATAGTGGCCGCAGCGCGGTTTGTAGAGGGTGTGACGATGAATGTCAATTCCAACCTCTTCCGCACATATCGAGAAAGCCAGCTCGATGAGTTCTTAAATGACAAATTCTATATCTTCAGCCAATCTGGTAAGATAATCTACCCATAGATAGATCTAGAAAATGAAGTCGGTAAACAATGCTAACAATAGTTCACCAATTGGCAGAGCCCGGTCTTTACGAGAGGTTAATGGAGGAAGACGCGAACACCGCCAAAAGGCGGGAACAACTTAAAGGAGAAATGGATAAGTTGGTGAGGGCTATGCATAGCATTAATAACCTCGAGAGGTCTTCCAACGATACCAGTCTTAGGCCCACATACGTAAATTCCATCAACTCGGACAGCGAGATGGACGATGTTGTATAGTGGTGGATTAGACATGGACGGCTTACAATTAGGGGAAGCAGTTTGTCAACTTGCGTTTTATGCTAACGGAGATCTCGTCAGTCCGCTCGCTATTGTCTTTGCTTTCTGATTATGGTCAAGATCTATTTCGCAAAATGTACGACTGATGCTGGTTCACAGTTCTGCGACTGGATGGATACTGACAGGTTTTTAAGAATAGCCAATTGTAACTATATAGGATTTCCCAGGATAGCTTGCTTGCCAGTGTGCATTGATTCTAGAAGCCTGACAATGAAACTGATAAAAGGAATGAAATGCTGGCAAACCAAACTTAGCACTCCCACCAAGTTTCTTAGACATATGTCATCGACAGTAGTTCAGCTTGGACTCGTGTCCTTTTTTTTACGCTGGCTCTCGTCGAATTTCACTTACCGTTTGTCCTTCCCAAGGGTTGTCCTTGGTGTCAGTCGCAACATATAATAGGCGACAACTACTAATAGGCCATCTCTAAATCGAATTGAACTAAACTGAGAAGGGCAGAGTTATAACACGTGGTGAAAGTAATAGCAATAATAAATAATAAAAATACCCAAGCAAAGCAGTAGACTTCTCTCTTCTTTAGGAATTACCTTACATAAAAAGATGTAAATAATGCAGTCTGGTTGGCCAGAATATTTTGGGTTCCTTGTTCCGTTGCCAAGCCTCCCCCTTAGGAAGACTCGTTACCTACCTCCTATGTTTCATTCCGACTTTTGCCAAATAACCAGCCGGGCCTTTTCTGGCCCACCGCCAACTGTTCTTACCTATGGCTGCCTATGACACTGCGCCGGAAAGACAGACCATACGTCCAATAGCAGTTGAGCTTATGACTAGGTTCTCGACCCGCACATATGCGGTGGAAGTTATATTGCCGAAGCTTCCATGTTATGCTATGTAGTTGAAGCGTCCCTTACGTTCGACGCTCTCTTCTAAATCTGGACAGCTTGAGCAGGGCTTTGCATTCCCTCAAACCCGGATAGGTAGGGTGTTATTCAACGACGATCGAACGACCTGCCGGAGGGAGAGGCAATGAGATTGGTCCAGGGCTGTTACTCATTGTTCTAGCTTGTCGTTCATGTTCCATCTTGGGTCATCGCTGTCGCGCATAACACACAACCTGGGGAAGCGGGTCCTTTGCTGCTATGTACATGTATGCTGATTTCTCCTATGCCACCTATTGGGTCATTCGCTTTGGTTGTCATGTGTTTAACGACCAATGGCGGCGGATTTGCAATATCTACCTAGGTCCTTAAGATAGTAGATGTCTTTGTATATAATACCAGTGAAAATCAAATAAAAAGGATAAACGCACTAGAAGCACAGTATTCAAAGCATTAGACCAGGTTGAGGTAAAGGTAACAAACGCCTATACGTCGTTTCTCCATCTTGCAAATAGACTTGAGTCTTAAATCACAAGCAACCGCCGTATAACTAGTTGGGGTAGGAAAATCGAAAGTAAACTCCGCATCAACTGACTACTGCATGCTTCCCGAAAACGTCAACTCGGAGCCTCAAAATATGCCATAAGACTCTTCTTTTCGGGCATGGGGAGGCGAGTATCACGACTAGATGGTAGCCGGGCTGTCGGTTTGATAGGCCGCTAGTTTGTCGGATCCTGGTCGAAGGTCCTCCCTAACTGCTACCCTCTGCGATCCTCTCTATATTATCCCCGCATTATCGTAACATGCATTAGCCATCGTAACAGTAACGACATAACGGCAGGGCTAGGGTAGGATGGCAAGGGTTGATTTTCATGCTGATCTATATGTCTTCTTTCACCAAGGACACGGACGGGCGCTGTTTTGTTATGCTTTTAATTACCAACCCCGGCCTCTCCATGTAGATAGAGAGTCCTTGAATAACATCATATCCTTCCCCGTGCCGTACGTGCGTCTCTTCTCTAATAACTACCTAGCCTAGACTTCTACTTGCCCTTTGAGGTTGAAGCACGAACCCAAACGATACCGTATGTCGATAACCTACGCATGAGAACGCGAATTTAAAGGAATCAGAATGGTTCGCCCTCGCCAACCTGCGGCCAAGGGTCATGAAGAGGAACACGAGCAGTTAGCGCGTAGGGAAGGTCCCGTATTCGAATATGTATATTGGACAAAGGAACCACATCTCCGAAAGCTTTATGCGTGGGCGTGTGTTTTAATGATAGCCTCAGCGACTACTGGATACGATGGGTAAGGCAACGAGAGAATACCGAAGTAGTGTTTCGGCGGATGTCTGGCTGACAACTTACACACAGAATGTTAGTCAATACGTCTCAACAGATTGACCGATGGAAACAATATTTTCCAAAGACGCAGGTCGGGCCCGATAATCCTCAGGAGGTAGCCGACAGCTGGTTAGGACTCCTCGTAAATATGTTCAACATCGGGAGTATCTTAAGTTTCTTCCTCACGTATGGCCCTCCACCACGTGTCTGACTCTAATACGAGATATTAACATATGCCTTAGGCCATATGTTGCCGACAATTGGGGCCGGAAGGCGTCGATAGCTATTGGATGTGCCTTCATGATAATAGGAGGTTGTATATCTGCGTTTTGTAATGGATACGAGAGTAAGTGTGAACATAGAGAAGTTGCCAACCGACATGAACATGAACCTATTAACATATGATCCAGTGTTCATTGCCGGTCGCTTGATTCTCGGCTTCGGTAACAGTTTATCTCAAATGGCCTCTCCCTTACTACTCACCGAGATATGTCATCCTCAGCATCGTGGACCTGTCACTGCCGTCTACAACTGTTTATGGAATCTAGGCGCTCTTCTGGTTGCCTGGGTCGGTTGGGGCACCGCACAGATCCGTAACGATTGGAGTTGGAGGTCCATAACCCTGATCCAAATCCTGCCCTCGTTGATCCAAATTATTTTCATCTACTGGATCCCAGAATCGCCGCGGTATCTCATGGCGAAGGACCGGCATGAAGAGGCGCTTGATATCTTAGCTAAATATCACGCTGGCGGCGATAAGAATGATGTTCTAGTCCAGTTTGAGTTCCGCGAGATTAAAGAGACGATGCGAATGGAGAAGCAAGTCGCCCGCGCTGCCGGTTATCTCGACTTCTTACGCACCAAGGGTAACCTATGGCGGTTAGCCATCCTCATCTCCCTAGGCGTCATCTCTCAGTATAGCGGAAACGCGCTATTTTCTAATTATATGGACACCGTCTACGAGGGGGCTGGAATCAGGGTCCAAGATCAGAAGCTTGCTGTAAGGAACATTATCTCAAGGTTATATTCCGATGCTCATTCTTGCGTGCTGACACTCCCCTCTAGTTAAGCGGTGGCAAGACAATTCTTGACCTCATAGTGACAATACTAGCTGCCTTGAATGTCGACAGGTTCGGGCGACGGCCGCTATTCTTAATTTCCACGTCGGGCATGGTAGTCTCGTTCGTGAGCTGGACCATCTGTGGTGCTATTTACGAGAATTCAAATATGACCAACGCCGCTTCTGGGTACGCGCAGCTGGTATTTATATGGTTGTTCGGCATATTCTACGATATCGGCTTCTCGGGCCTATTAATAGCCTATGCGCTCGAAGTCTTACCCTTTAAGCTACGCGCTAAGGGAATGATGGTCATGAATATTACGGTGCAGGCTATCCTCGCGTTGAGTAATCAGACCAACAAGATCGCCTGGAATAAGTTCCCAAAGCACTGGAACTTTATGCTTTTCTATACTGTAAGTTCATGTCCCCATTGTCTAATACACATATCTTCCTGTTTATATTGACTAGATCCTTTACTGATATATGATTCTTGCGTAGCTCTGGGACTTCTGCGAACTGGCTTTCGTTTATTTCTTTTACGTCGAGACGAAAGGACCTACGCTAGAAGAGATCGCATGGATCTTCGACGGCGCAGACGCAGTCGCCAATATCGATATTCGACAAGTTGAGAAGGAAATGAATGAGATTGGGCGAGAACAAAGCATCGATTCGAGTGCCATGTCGTCGAGAGGAAAGGGAGGTGTTTAATCTAGTAGTCTTTGGTTTTATTATTATGGCCGAGGCGTTGACGATTTAATGAATGATGATCATAGCGCAGTGATCCTGGAGATACCCAAAAAGGAGAGAAAGGGAAATTGGAGGGTGGACCTGGTATATACAACATTATAATTTGAGGAAAAGGAGCTTACAATAATGCTTCATGCTTCGTACTTAGCATACACTATCGTTCTGTATTTGCCACCTTAATAACTTGTTGAGGCTAGCAACTAATACAATATACCATAGTGCTACTCTCCTTCATGTAGCTCGACCCTAGTTTCGTCCAAATGGTATCGATACCTGTGTTCCTAAGATAACATTGGTAAACATCGTTTTATAAGACAAGATACGCTCGCTATACAGAATAATACTCTGCCCCCCTTTTAATTCAGCGCTTCATATCTTCAATGATCCGAGAAGCACCAGCAAAATTAAGTTCTTCCAATGTCTCTTCCCATATCCTTTCTCTTATTTCCTGCCCGTCTTTTGTGTATACGACCTTAGGATACCTAGTTCAGTTAGTCAAAATGTCTTCATGGCATGACAGTGTTGTTTACACATACGGCCTGATACTCCAATCGCTGACGTAGCTCCCGTGACTCTCTTTACCCTTCGTGACGACACCGTCGACTACGGCGCTGGCGCCATTCTCTACCGTCCTTCCGTTTATGTTTTGGAAGATCCAGAATGTCAGTGCAGATATAAAAGATTTCACGGCTCCGTCTCCGAATTGTGTGTTTCTACAGAAACCCGGATTGGATGCGTTGACAATGACGTCGTCGGCTTTGATGTGCTCCCCTAGCTTAGAGATAAAAAATAGTTGCAACAATTTACTCCTCGGGTAAGACCGCATCGTCTTGAACTCCTCGGGAATGTCAAACTGGGGCAGCACGGGTCCCGCGTCGAGCGGATCCGCCCAGTATGAAGTATCTGACGTGACGATTGAAAGTCGAGGAGGTAATGAACTACTCGGCGACATTTTCTTTGACTTAAGAACCGGTAGCAGTAGGATTGCAAGCAGGATGGTTGAAAGGTAGTTTACCTGGAAGGTCTTCTCGTGGCCCGTAGCCTCGACGACTGTGAAATTATCGCATCGTAAGCCAGCGTTTAATATGGCGATATCGATGCGCGGAAGTGTCTCACACTTCTTTGCAAACGCCGTGATAGAATCGTACGACTCCATATCGACAAGCCAGACCGAGATGGTTGATTCTGGGAACTCTTCCCGGAGCTTTTCTGCAGCCGCGTTACCGCGTGCTTGTGATCTCACGCCCATGACGAGGTGTGCAAGACCGAGCTGGAGTAGCTGTCGCGCAGCTTCAAACCCGAGACCAGAGTTAGAGCCGGTCACGATGGCCGTTTGACCCGAGATGGCTGTTCCCTTGGGGACTGGTTTCCGGTGGATTAGCCATTGACGATAGAGAAACCCAATGAAGTGACCCTCGAACGTAGCTTCATTCTCGAGATGTTGAGACATAGTTGAATTATAGATGAGACTCTAGTGTATAAGATGTATAAGTCCCGCGGCCATCGAGCTCAGATAAATAGACATATAGTCCTATACAACCGTTGTCGTCCATCCTTAGGGTTACGCTTCTACGGTCCTCTAGAGCACAAGTGGCTTGCTTGCATGACGCGACTAAGCGGGAGAGTCGGTCTTCCGGAGACCGTTGAATCCCAGAGTCTCAGATTATTATTTCCTGTATTGGTATCGTTCTAAAGATATATCCCTAAATGTGTCATTCAAAACTACTTCAGGATTGGCCCACGACGACACAGATGAACGGGATTGGACAAACAGTTTCGTCATCAAGCACTTCAACTTGTAAGCCTGGTGTATCTCGAAATACTTGTGTATGGGCGGAATTATCGACATGTCAGACACCGAAACTTCCTGCAGCTAAACAATGAATCCCGGGACATAACGTCATTCGGGACCGACGTCTTAAACCCGTCTCTGACATAGTTTAACTTAGGTACCTATGCTCTAAAGAGACAACTAGTTTATTCAATCAGACGAACCATAATTTATTTTTTTCTTTTCATAAAATATCAATATGTAAATAATAACTACTGCTTTTTGAGGCAACCTCGCGCTTCGGGAGATAGTAGGTCCCCGACGCTCCGAGGGGGACTTACATACATACACCAGGTACCTAGGAGGTGGTTACTTATTTGAAATTTACAATTTGTCATATAAACAAGCTAAGCTCTACAAGAATACGAGAATCTAGGTTACTATGTATAAGAAGGGGAGGTCATTGACTACCACACGCCTCGTGGTTCGACTCTTGCCATCACAGGAGAGGAGATATCTTAAGAAGCCAACACTTCCATGTCTAGGTTAGGCTCTATTGTCCAGCTCAGCGCCCATGCGCTTGAAACACTGCGGCAACAGCCTTCTGTAGAGGCGGGGGAGGCGCTGCAGTCAATTCGTCGATGTTGAGATCCGGATCTCCCTTCTGCATTGCATACCTATACCTATCTCGTGCAGCTACACGCTTAAGGTAGGCTAGGATGTTTGGATAATCAGTAAGATCGTACTTTATGAAGCAACGCATCGTCGTAAGGCTAGTCACGTTCATGATATCAGCCGCAGTGAACTCCTCGCCCGCGAGCCAGGGTACTTCTGATAGACGCTGATCCATAAACCCAAGAACCTGCTTCCGCCTAGCTTCACTTCGTTTTACGATCTCGTTATCCTCTCCTAGCCCTGTCCGGGATAGTGACAAAGTCAATAATAGCGCAGGCTGTAAGGTACCATTCGCGAAATCTAGACCCATCGTCAGCCGCAAGTACATAGGTGGTAGTTTTCCTACACATAGGACATAGCAATTATCTTACGAAACCAGTATAAATACTCGGCAAAGTCTTTTTGTCCCGGCGTGGCGACGAGCTTCCCATTTCCCCGAGTCTGCAATATGTACTCAATACAAGCGCCAGACTCGGCTAGTTTGATGCTCCCGTCTTCGATCACAGGAGCCGACCCGATGGGGTGCAGGGCCTTGTACTCTGGTGGGGCCCAAATAGGTGATCGATCGTATTTCTTAAGTTCGTAGTCGATGCCAAGCTCTTCGCAGAGCCAGACGACTCTATCCGATTGCGAAACGCCGAGATGGTGAACTATGAGAGTCATTTTGATAGAGACCGCGATAGGTCAAGTGTACTTGAGCTAGTAATAGCAAAATAGTAAATAAGATATTATATAAGTGACACTAAACCTCCCAACATCATTACGTTAATAAGTCATGAGAGGGGGAGATTGGTAATTAGTCGGTCCTTAAAACCGGTAGGCTCCTCTTATATAGGTACGTAACCCCGAATCTAGCCGATCGATTGACTAAGAAATAAAGCCTCTATCGTAATCGGCATCTATGGAACAGTCTTAGAAGCGCGTTGGTGGCGCGGGTGGTACTATCTTAGACAAGCTAGCCTCGAAGATCTCGCAGGGTAATGAATGCATATGTATAATACCCACCGGGCTATGTACCATTTTAACATCAGGTCTTGTTCCAAAAGAGGTAGCCAGTCATATCTGTATATCAATTCTTTTTAAAGAGAGCGGAGAATTTAACAGGGTTTTAGTATGTCGACGTTCGTCCAAACCAAACCTTTGACTAGATAAGTATAATTCACAACGGCCGCTACCAACATAATTACAATTACAACAGCTAAATACGAGACTAACTAATAAATCATATTCTTGATTTAATCTGGTATCTTCATAAACCAATGGGAACTCAAGTCGCTCATAGATTGTAAAAACGATCCATAGTGGGATGATTCGTTTCCGAGTATGCTTAAACGTTCTTGAACTAGAGGTTACCCTCCAGGTAACATAAAAGCCTAAGGTTTACACCGCACCATGTTTTATACTATTTTTATTATTTTTATAATTATTATTATTATATTAGCAACCTAGCTCCTATTAAATTAGAGGACACCCCTTATTGGGATGATAATCCGTCCCGCACAAGTATATAAATGCGTATCTCCCTCGAAACCGTATCTATCTCGATCTTACCGTTATGCATTATTAAATATAAAAAGGTTTATTGCTGCATTATGTCCTTTTCCTCCCCCCCCTTTTCTCCCTAATCTATACGTACGTATAATATGGACTGGACCTTATCTACCTACACTTCCGAATTTACTACTATTATACGGCTGGACAATACTCTTAATACCCTTAAAACCTAAATAATAAAGAAGCCTTAAACAGAGGCATAATTTTATTCTATTTATATTTACTGCTTTATAAGGCAAGAAAATTATCTGTAAGGTAGTAAGGCATGTGTCCCAAATAGGAAATTTTTACTCGCATTCAACACAACATCCTAAGGTAAACCTTAGGCATAAAAAATAAAATCTAGCTGACGGTATGAACTAAATATTCCATCTTTGAAAGGATACTTGATCAATTCTATGTGATTAAAGAACGCAATACCACTAACTTAAGCAGCCTTACATTATTTCAAGTACACTGTATAAGAGGTATTTATATACGTCTACTTATAATCCACTTTAAATATAGACGTACGCATCTCTTAAGCCTATAACTTCATATCGAAATAGAATATTTTAAGATGAAGTTATTACCTAGGTACCTAGGTAATAACCTATGATCGGCTTAAAAAAAACAATGAGAATGCGATTCGTATTAATATTGAATCGCCGATAATCGTAGTTTAGAAATAACAGTGTATGTAAATCGAGAGCACATACCAATAATAGGGGTAGATGAGTAAATGAAGGCCAGGTTAGCTTTCTAAATGTATTTCACTTCTGTTTATGGTAATTTACAACTCTAATAGTAATACACCAAGTTGTGTTTTCTTAATATGTCGCCAAGTAAAGAAAAGTTTCGATATAAATGGCTGCCGGTTTCGCGCGAGGCTCTGCTTCGTTCTAATTCCCCGCTGCCCTCTATATGGTTGGCAACACGTGGCTGTGCGTGTAAATCCAACGTATTGGAGGTCAGAGGGCCGCCGAGATTGGTCGCACCGCATGCCAGACGAGGTCCTCGCGTTCACTCCTCATAGGTGCCCAGGCTGAATCCTCGATCCCCAAAATACCACATCACCCCGCCTACCTTTATGAGTTAAAAGAACATGGAGCTTCCCTAGTTACTGCAGCCGAAAAGCACCACCTACAACTACTTATCTATGAATTACCGTCCGGGAGCTGGCTTGACCCGGCAACTCTACGGTATAAATGCCCGGCGTGACAGCATCGTCGGTAGCGGCAACTTCAGTTCGTAGAGGATCACGCGAGCCCCGTGAGGTCACCACGCCACGGCCACATCAGCAGCTAGCAGGCTGTATACTATGGTTACCGCCTAAGCCTGAGCTACGAGAGGGCTGCGGGTCCGACATAGAGGTAGACCGATGCAACCATCCAGTGGTGATCCTCTCGCCACAGGCAGAAGATGGAAATGTGGTATATCTCATGGTATGTCCTCTTGATATACGAGTCCTGTAATTTCGGTGCTATCTACGTGACTACTGCATTCTAACGACCGAAATTCAGATCACGTCACTAAAGGGAAAAGAACTCACGACTCGCTTTAAGCATGATCAAAACCTTAGGCTTGAACACATCCCTATCCGGCCAAGCCGCCCGCATCCAGACAATGGGATGCTCCTCAGTCTCGAGGATGTGACGCTCATGCTGCGGAAAAATTCTTACGTCAAGACGAAGACGCAGTACCGCATTCAAATCGCGTCCTTACGGCCTTACGAGCGTCGAGGACCTGAGTATATTCTGTCCCGAAAGTCTTACCATGAACTAATCCAGTACGCCAAATTCACACCTCCGGCTCCTCGTCTCTCCTTGAATACAATCTCTTCTCCTAGTCGTGTATGGGGGTACAGCCAAGCCGTGCCTATTACTCGGGAGCGTAGCGGTAGCTATGGCGAGTACGTGTCTGCTCAGAGACGCTTGGAAAGCGCTGCAGTGAGCCCGCCCCGCGCCCACTATGTACCGACCGCGAATACGAATCCACCTCAGTACGTTCGTACTGTTGCTCGGAGCGAACGAGAGCCGCTCCTTGGACAATCATCGTACACGTATTCTCGCAGTTCATATCCCAGCTATTCAGGCAGCTATCCAGGTAGCTATTCAAACAATAACCCGACATACACGTATAGAACCTCGGCCCGGGCCGGACACCAGGGCCCGGCACCTCCGCGGCCGTTCGACTCGGAGGGAACATGGAGGAAAATAAAGATACTCTTCTGGGTTTTCGTAGCGCTTATAGGAGTGTACGGAACGTACAGCGGCGTAGCCTGGTTAATAGCCGATGCAGCTAAGCAGGCCAGCTTCGTGGTTAAAAGTCGCATCGGGCAAAATGGATATAAATTTGGCGTCTTTTGGTCAACCCTAGCGAGGCTAGGTGCTCCCTAGGGCTCGCCCTTCTCCTTCCTCTTATATTTTTGGTAGCTTGTGAGCGTCTTCTTTTTTGTTTATAATCTCACGATTGTATCAATGGATATGGAACGGAATCGGTAGCAAAACGGAAAATGTACAATTGGCATTATGTATTTGAATAGGCTTATACACGGGAATCTTCACGATTTGAAGTACAATAGCAACATCGATTAATGAAGCTCGTTACTGATTCGTTGCCGGGACCTCGGTATCAGAGATATCGCAATTCTTTATATACTGCTGAGGGGAAGAAGTCTCTTTGCAGTCCGGCGTAAGTGTCGCGGTAGCAACTTGTCTCACAACATTTCTAGATTAATTAGGAGGTACTTAGCGGTTTCCATGTCATGCAACTATCACTGACAGCCTGCAGTAGTAAGATATGGAAAAGGGTACAGGCGAAAGGAGCGCAGAAACAAGCGTACCGGTCATCGCAGTTCCAGGTCTGGTTTACTCTTAATTTCCAGCTATCGTCCCAAAGGAAGTTTGCGCCGGTGCTTATAGGGTACTCAGACCCATCTATCTCGTAGTTTCGGTCTAAACATTTAAACCAATAATTGCTAAGGTCCGGCCACACGTTGTCGTGTTCGACATTCTGGAGGCTGCAGCCGGTCGAGACACCGTTGGCATTGTTAATCACCTCGAACGCAAGCTGCGTCGAATTGGGAAATGCATCAATGGCATATGGGGATGTTTCGACCCTCACGTAAATGGCACCTTTAAGGGAAAATGTCGTTGTCGATGCTTCAGTACAAGACTGTGCCGTTTTGGAGGATGATGATTCCTGGCTGGACCCTGCTTGGACGAACGAATGCGCAAACAGTAGCACCAGAAGGAGATAGCATGAGCGAGGCATTTTCAATTCGTGTTTCTAAGAAGAATCGAAGTATGGCGAATCTATCCGACATCCCCTCCAAAAGTACGGGTCTATTGGTAGTTTTATCATGTTACCGACTCCTGAGCCCGGATAAAATCACCCTTCTTATGATCTTACCATCTAGTGCCCTCCCCGTCCTTCCTATTCTACAACTAAGATCCTAGTGTCCAAGTGCTTGCCATGATATGCAGCGGAGTCGGATATCCCGGTCGACGTGACATTATCTTGGGTTTATCCACAACGGGTACTCGCGTTGGAGGTAACACTATGTAGCATTCCTTATATGGCCAATGGTGCCTGTTTGATTGGCTGACTTGATGGTACCGGTACCAGATAAAGGGCAATACGACGCGTGTACTCACAATAAAGGAACGTAGTCTTGACGTGGTCTTGGTGCAAACCGACAATACTCGACATGGATTGCCTATCTTGCTACATATAACAAGCGAACCCCTGCATGCAGACAGGTATGAAGACGTACTTTGACGTTTTCCCTAGAGCCTCTTCTAGATCTAGGTAACCTAGATCGATCAGCTGGTCCCTGATTAGAAAAAAAAACCAAGACATCTACATTAATGAGTGAGACCTCATCAACCTGTATCCTATGCGCCCTGACGCCTACTCCTTCTTTCTTTCTTTCTTTTCTCAACAAGCAAACGGACATCGTAGACTTCAACTGTCTTCTGACTTAAACCCCGCCGCCTCGCATGCTCGAGTGAACTCTCTCAACAAGGACTAGGTTATGAATTGTTAGCTCGATTAGGTACTCACTTAACCTGGACAATAGATCAGATCCGACAACGCACCTTGAAATCATGGTCTGCCAACGACATAAATATGGATTTCTGGTGGAGTTTGAGCTGCATGACCCGAGGGCTTTTGATCCCGAAAGCGACGCGCGCTAAAAATCTCGGATCGTCCCGTACATGGCAGCCTTTAAGAATCCTTAGAATGCCAGCAATGTCGACAGGCGGGGTTGGCTTCGGAGGTAATATGATGCGTCTCCCTGTTAGACAGCGAGAGCAATGTCCACATTTCGTTTTCCCGTCAGGTAATCCCATCCCGAAATGCTCAGCTAGAGCTAGAGCGAAGCATTTGTCGCCTGTGATTAGATCGGCTACTTGCTGCGTTCGTCGCAACGCATCCTCTTCTCGAGTTTCCATATCGACATAGAGCTTGTCGGTGATGGCTTTGATTTCTTCTGGGGTGCGAGGAAGAGTCTTAAGAATTTTGAACTTGTTTTCAACACCGCTCTTTTTGAGCATGATGATTCCACTGTCGTTATACTCTTCGAGCTTCCTTACCACGTCGGTACGGAGTAGTCCAGTTGACTTTACGATATCAGTTACATTGACATCGTATAGCTTACCGTACTTAGCCTTGATGGCGTGCTTGTAGATGGCTCTGCCCTCGGGAGAAGAGTCCCCTTTAGCGGTGTAATGATACCTCTGCATTGCCTCGAACTTGTATGAAGTATATTCTGGAGTAATTGATCTGATCAGGCCAAACCGAAGCTCTAGTGTCGCTAGCAAGATGGCTAGAGGACCCGCTCGGATGTCGTAGTCTCTACCTAAAGCTGTCTGATTGAGTCTGATAACGTCGCCCTCCTGCGTGCGATCAACTTCTCGGTGAAATATGTCTTCTAGCAACCGACGTAGTGATTGTCGTGATGGCAGGTCACCTCGAGCAAAGTTCTCTCTTAGGTAAAAGTCATCGTGACAGATGTAAAACATGCAATGGCTTGTTTTCCCATCTCTTCCCGCGCGCCCGATCTGCTGCGAATATTCTTCTACCGTGCTAGAGAGATCGAAATGAATAACATTTCGTATGTTGGCCTTGTCAATGCCCATGCCGAAGGCAATTGTAGCGACAACTATGGGTATACTATCGGCCATAAAGTCGTCTTGGATTTTCGCCTTTGTTTCTGCCTTGAGGCCGGCATGAAATGCAACTGCGTTAAAGCCTTGCTTGGCTAGGTCATCCGCAAGCAATTCAGCTTGCTTCTGGAGAGTCACATAGACGAGAGTGGGCCCGGGATGTTTTCGCAAGAAATGGAACATCTTTGGGTACTTGTCCAGCTTCGTTTCCGTGTATTCGGCTAGCAAGTGTAGATTAGGCCTGTAAGGAGAAGTGCGAAATACATTGGATTTCTTAATGTCGAATGCCCTTGCGACATCATCAACGACTCGAGGTGTTGCTGTAGCCGTGAGACAGATGACCCTTTCGGCGTTGATTTCTTGGACAAAGCGGGCCACCTTGAGATAGTCCGGACGAAAAGAGTGTCCCCATTCTGAGATGCAATGAGCCTCATCGACGGCGACCAGCCGAATACCTCCAGGAACATGCTTCATACTCTCGACGAAGCCCTCGTTATTGAGTCTCTCGGGCGCGCAGTAAAGTAGTTTCAGCCGGCCCTCTCTGATGCCAGCCTTTATCTGTTGCTGCTGTTCGTAGGTTTTGGTAGAGTCCAGACAAGCAGCAGCAATACCTTTACGTAGTAGGGTGTCCACTTGATCCTTCATGAGAGCAATCAGAGGGGAGACAACGATAGTTATGCCCGGCTCGTTGCGAGCTTTGCTACTATCCACAGCATCTATCTTTTCAAAGGCAATTGCGGGTATCTTGGAGGGAAGCAAGCAAATGTCAGCGTGTTAATCTTAACCGAGAAGGAATAACTCAACTTGATAGCAGAGCGATTTGCCGGCGCCCGTAGGAAAGACGACGAGTACATTCTCTTGTTGTAAAATGGATATAATAGCAGAGAACTGCTCGTGGCGAAAGTCTTCATGACCGAACTTTTCCTTTAGGATCGCCTTTGCGGTTTCTCCTAAGAATTCTATGCCGGGGCGTGTCGTATCCTGCACCTTGGGTTGTTTCGCTAATCGAACTTGGTGATCCTGCTCGTCATCAAGAGAGCGCCTGCGCTTGATTCCTGTAACCAAGTTGTCCGCGTCTATGTCACCCAATAGGTCATCTCCGGAATCATAGTCCGACATGGTGGATATATGATGATGTTGCCGTGATTGTGGTTGTGGTTTTGTACAGCTCGCCAGAATAGTAGAACGAGTGCTGTAGTGGAATCCGTGTAGATGTATGCAACACCGGACTGTTGACTGGACTGTTGATATTGTTCGGTAGGCACCTTTGATAAATATAGCCGCGTTTGAATTGATTGCAGTTACGTTTCTTGAGAAACGGCCAACTGCCCACCCGTACCTGGTCTGTTTGACCTTCCTTAGGAAGGTACGTAATTGGTGATGGCCCATGCTTTAAGTTTAATCTAGGTACATCAGCTGGGCAGGTACATCCTTACCATATGAAATGTTATGAGGAAGGTACCTTACATACAGCTGCCTTACATAACATCTTACCTGGTGGGTAGTGACCTTAGGACTAATGGTATCAGGTAGTTAGGTGATTCCCTAAATTGGTGACATCGTTGTTTTTTATTATTCAGATTAAGATTACAAGGATTAGGATCTAGCTATTGTTTATCTATGCGTAGATACGGGCAGTAACTGCCTCATTATAATGAGTGCTTGAGTCACTGTTGCTAGGGATCTACATTACTCCTTTTTCCCCTTAGAGTTATCCTTAACGTTCTAATTACTTTACCACTAACTACCTAACTAACCTAAAGGTGGAAAGCCGTACGATTCCCCGTATCTTCCTCCGTTTCCTCCTCCCGCGAATGATCTTCTTGACGAGTAACCTGTCGTGTGTGTTTAGCTCTTATTAACTAGCTGTTTTATTGGCCTTTGTAGACTGGTCAATCGGTTGAAAAGTGCGTTGATTATTCTAAGTCTAGTGGCCTTGCAGGCCCTATGTACCTGTTATATAGCACACATTACGGCCCTTATCGTGCCTTATCGCCTAGGTGACGTGGATTACACCCTAAGTCACCTCTAACAGCCTTTTTATATTCCACAAATTCCTTCCGAAATGCTTTTAGATCGTTTCGTAAGGTCACGATCTCGGCACGCAACGTTTAAACGTCCGATAGCAACGTTTTAATGTCTATTGGCAACTCCCCGTTAAATTATCGGTTGGTTGGAGCGGTCCGTAGCACGTTTGAAAGCGAACGTACTTCATAAGCAAGGTATTGCGTAATCGGAATTACTTGTCGCACTTATTGCACTTAGTGCGTGACTCGACGGGTAAGGTCTTGGTTAGCGAGGTCTCGGTTGGCAACGCCTTAGATAGCGATGAGGTCTCTGGCAATGTCGACTTAACTGGAGAGGTCGCTTCCGATAAGGTCGCCTCGGTATATGGCATCGTGATGTCTAAACAGGTAGTAAAGGCGTTTGCCGCTTAAGTAGATTGACTGGCAAAGGGGGTTTATTATTATCGAATAGACTGGCTAAAGGGATCTATTGTTATCGGATAAACTAACAGGGTGGCAAGGCTGGCTTTTACTTGGTCTAGGTCTATTTATATTGCCTAATATCCGGTACGTTTCTACAAAGTATGTAGCGACGACTTACTCGTTGATAAGGCTGGTAATGCGTTTTACATAATGGTAAAACAACTTGCTTTCGCTATAGCTTTAGGTGGCGTATTGCCTCGCAAAAATTCGAATTTTTATAATTCCCTAAATTAGTGGTAATATCGTTATTGCTTTAGCTAAAATTTATCGAAACGCCGCGTTTCGACGGGCGCGTAGACGCACGTGGGATCTTTCCGAAGTCATGTGCGCGGCCTTATCTTATCAATTACTGAGGTATTTCGCAATGTATTTCGCAATGTATTTTCTTATCAGTTTTCCTTATCAGCTTCTTACGTAATTAAAAAAGTTCGAGCGCAATATTCCTTCGGAAAGACAATGAATGCCTGAGTCACTCTTGCTAGGGATCCACATCTACACCTTTAGGTACCTACTTTACCTAACGTTCTGCACGCCTGGATGCCATTCGCATTCTTGATGGGCCAAACTACTAAGGTTAATTACTTCGTAATGAGCAGAAAAGAGAATTATTCATACAGCGAAACTTTTTAACATCATTGGTATGCTATTGGCTGCCTTACTCCTACAAAATGACCATTACGCCCCGTAATATGCTTGCTTGTCTTCGTATACATGAACGCCACTATGCCGTGATGCCCACAATCGCCCCCTATCCCTAATTGATATTCACTTCTCCATATAGAGATACCTTCACAACCTGAAGTGTTAGATACCTCAGGTTCCAATCCGAATAACACGAGTATTCGGGGCGTCTCGAAAGCCTCGATTGATACATATTAATAGCAACTGGTGAACAGATGTTGTCCATGCATAACTATCTCGTTGCTTTCCCTCCTGGTCATTGAAAATTATCGTAGTTAGTCACCACCACCACATAAAAAAATACTCGGCTTGCGACATCCTCGTTGCTAAACAACTCCCTTATCAAGATAAACCGGGTGAGAAGCTTGATTTGGTTCGGCACATCTCGAACGAGGATACCGCTCTAAACAATGATATGAATATAGGAACGAGTCGTGGCGTGATGCATTACGCTTTCGTTCAGAATGCCATGTCGCCCACATGCTCATCGAAGTTTAATAACTCGGGGGTTAAGGAGTAGCTTCGAATTCTCGTTGCGGAACCCAATATATGCGTACAACTTGACAAGTTTTAGTTGTCTTCTTCCATGATTCTTTGCACTTCGGGAGCGTTCAGCAGAATACGCTTGCCAAGTTCGTCTGCAGGTTTACCATCACGAACGGCTCCAAAGTCGAGAATCTGCCATTATCAGTTAGTAAGCTATACCCTATGTAATAGGTTTGGTGGTTCGACTTACCTCAACATACGTCAAGTTATCCCGCTGGACAGCCGCTACGCATCGGCGTTCATCAAACCTGACCTGCCAGACTCCACTAAGGTCCGTGAGAAGGTCTTGGATGCATTCGCCTGAGCGGATATCCCACATCTTCAGGGTCCGATCGCTGCCACTAATAACTTTGCGCCCGTCATGTTGGAAGCAGGTAATCGCACCAGTATGGGCCGTCAGTGTCGATTGGCATCGTCCACTCTCCGGGTCCCAGATACGGAGAGTGCTATCCGCTGCCGCCGAAACGAGTCGCTCGTCACGAAGATCAAGTAACCCAACAAGCAACGAGTGCCCTTCGAGCGTGTGCAAGCATGACCCGGTTTCCAAGTCCCAGATCTTCACGAAGCTGTCCATACTACCCGATATACACCTGTTACGGGCTACGTCCAGCACCACACTGTACACCTTTTGCGAATGCCCTTGCAGCACATGCACCGTTTCTCCTGTGCTAATACGCCATACTCGGACGGTATTATCGTAACTACCACTGACGAGCGTATCGGCGTGAGCGGCGATCGCCCGAACTGAGTGGGTGTGACCCTGTAGTGTGCGGATAAAGTAAGGGCAATCGGCATCATTAGCCGGAGGTCCGGTCTGGATATATCTCCTGGAGCCAGACTCGGGGAGACGCCAAACTCGTAACTGACTATCACGGGATCCGGTAATGATTAGAGGTTTCGCCGGCATCATGACCGCCTGTCCATTCTCTACCCTGCCAGTATCTGTCGGCATTAGGATTTGTAGACATCGGACAGTACTAGTATGGCCATAGAAGACCTGGGTGCAGAGACCTTTCTCGATATCCCACACGCGAACAGAGCGGTCTGTCGAACCAGACACCAAGACGTTACCTTCGTACTGAAGTGCCCACACTCCACCTTCGTGACCTTCTAAGCGACGACGGAGCTTACCCGTCTTAGTGTCGTAAACATGGATAAGCATATCGTCGCTCCCAGTGATAATCTTGTCCTCGTCGAACTGTAGACAGGTAATTACGTGCCGGGGATGAGCCGCGAAAGCAACATGGCTAGGCTTGACCTTGCCGCTCGTCCAACTCTTACGGATCATATAGTGACGACGGTAGAGCGACTTAAATAAATGAAGCTTCCTGAGGCTCGGAAGGCCGATGTGCGGGTCGGGAACCGCCACAGCTGCGGCGTTTGCAGCAGACATAGGACCCTCAGACTTGTGCACCCGTTCTCCTGTGTATGTTTTCTCATCCTTTGCCATCTCTTGCGCGCTTGCTCGCCGTTTCGACCGCTCAGAGTTACTGAGGCTGTTCAGAGCCCTCTTACGCTTGGATGTCCGTAGTTTCTGTGGCGGGTCAGGCTTCGAGGAGCGTATCAGTTCAGTTTCGGTGGAAGTAAGTCTAGCTTGAGTGCTATAGTCACGCTCGCAACCTTCGGGTCCCACCGGGTCTTGCCAACCCCATCCTTCTCTGATAGCTCTATCAAGCTCTCCAGGGGCTAGGGTAAAGCCGTCGTAGTCAAAGAGCTCCTTCCAGCCCGTCTCGTTACTATCAATAATTCCTCGCCAGTGTTTCGAAACCTGAGCTGCGCGGCAAAGGTCACGGTGGTCTAGATAAGAAAGGATATGTAAAGTCAGCTCAATAGGCAGGTCCTTCAAGATATCACATTTAAGGGCTGGGTTAACCACATCAGCAACGATGTGAAGAGTTTTTCTGGAACATCTGCGGAGGAACTGATACATCATGAATGACTTCATCTCGGGAGGCATAGAGTTGAAAGTTTCTAACATCGAGCGGGTGTCCATGATTGTAGGTTGGGATTGCGAATGATCTTCAAACCGTCTGACAGCAAGAGATGAAGGTTCCGTGGTAGAAGACGGACCGGACTCATAATCCATCGAATTCTGACTTTCCTCTTGGAAAAGAACGGAGACATCTTCGTCCGCCACATTGTCTCCGTCGTCTTGATCGAGCCCACGAAACTTGGAAGCCTGAAGGGTCGGAGACAGACGAGGGCTGGGCAAGCTTGCATCTTGAGCAGCAAGTGTATTGATGGGCCTTGGGTGATGCAAGGCACGAATAGATTGCTGGAGTGATTCATCCGCATCGACATCGCCAAATGGTTCAGCGTCCGCATCTGCATCGGTGATAGGTGGCGTAGCCACATTGCTACTAAATACAGTGTGCGAGTCGCTACCGGAGGGGCTTGAGACATCAAAAAAGGACTGGGATTGACTGGCGTTGTTGGATTCCGGGGTTTCGAAAGAATCGAGATGTGTGCTTCGAGGTTTGAGGGATCGATTCACGTTGACTGGAGTCGGCTCAGATGTGTCGGGAGTAACAGGGAAACTACTCGTTAATCTTGTTGTGTTGTTCTTGGCAACGTCCTTACGGGAGCCATGAGTTAGCGCGCGGCGTAGCTTATCTGACACGGCGTTAGGGAGGCTCGGTACGAATGATCGTGTTGACTGCTTCTGAGAACTTTTCCGAATAGATCCATCGACAACAGGGGAAGCAGGTCGATAGTTCACCCAATGGGCTCTACGACACGATGGAGGTAGACAAGGTTTCGATGAGCGGCGACTAATTTGGTGGTGGGCAGCATCTAATTCCGGCTCCGCCTTGATATCCTCAACGGATCCATCGCTAGTAGACTGCTGGGACTAAAGTGCAGTTCAGACTGTTAGACAAGAAAAACAAAGGCAGCAGGGAGTAGAGGGGTAGAAGGGCAGAAGGGCAGAACATACATCTTGCTGGTATTCAGCATCGACATCATCAACAGGCCAAGATATGCCGCCATAGTGAGCAACGTTGAAGCTGAAGTTAGCTAACTCAGGGGGGGTGGGTTTCTGAGCTAGAGGATATTCTTTGGAGTCGAGGGACGAGAGCGGCTTCGACTCTCTCACAAGAAGAGGTGGGTATGATCTCTTAGTAGTAGTAGTCGTGGTGACCGTCTTCGTCTCGATGCACTCGGCAACACCAAATTTGAGTTGCGGATGCGAGAGAGAGTCGGTGTCGTCAAAATTGACTGAAACTGTCGTCTGACTGGATCGAGGCCGTCCAGACTCCATCCTTTCGTCTACGGATGGTGCCTGTATCCTCATACTATTTCTATACAGCACTAGAAATCATGTATGTCGAGATACTTGTTGTAATAGCATGGAATGGAAAGCCGTCGGTTCGATTTCAGAAGCCAACTGAGCGATTATAGGTCCAAGTCGAAAGTTCGAGCCGAAATTGAAATCCAAGTCGAAGTCGAAGTCGAAGTCGAAGTCGGAGTCGAGATCGAAGTTCAGGACGGAAAATGCGGATAAGAGGGGCGGGGGGATGCCTGAATGAGCAAAGGAGGCGAAGAGAGGGAAGGGAGGAGAATGGAAACGCAGTAGTTCGAACAGTGATAGTCGCGTATCTCCTCTCTAAAGGGTTGCCGAAGGGTTGCCCGTGGTATTCTATTTTATTTACCCTTCGGGGCGTGGGTGTCTTTATTTCGAGCGTGTTTTGGACGCGCGCGTCGACGCAAAATTTGCGTGGGTATATGTAGTGTGTGTATGTACCTACGTATGTACGTATGTGTATGTTTGGACGGGTTGGGATGGTTGGGATGGTTGGGATGGTTGAAGGTTTTTTCGGATTGTAAGTGGATTGTAAGGACGGACTGTAAAGCGGTAGTGTGGTGGTTGTTAATGACAGTGGTAGTGGCAAGTGGTAGTGGTAATAGTAATGGGTAATGGCAAATGGCAATGGCATGAGCTAAACCAGCCAGACTAATCAAATGCGCTCCGGGAGGGATTGAATGTTGTATAGGTATATTATCCCATGCCGCAAGCGTTAATCGTTGCGCAAAGCCGACCACTCATCTTGCGACCTCGAGGAACAACCTTGTGCTCTTCCGACCGATGCGGGAATAGCACCCAAGTATGAATATGTATAAATGAAGGGAAAAAGAAGCATGGGTAGATTAAACAATTGAAAATAACTAGTTTTTTGGACGGTATGGAATGCGACGAACCTTATAAAATATCTTAGCTGATGCATCTTTAAGTGCCACCGCCTTCTCGAAATGCCCGCCAACTTTTTCCAGCTTCTCTGTCTTCTTCCAATCGTCGAATGTGCCGGTCACGTAGACCTCGGAGGCAGGATGCTCCCTATCGGATCAGAGAGGGACGATATCAGCCGAGTTCTACATCAGTTTTCATGGGGGGAATACGATTGTTGGGATGTTGGGAAAGGAAAAGCTGGAAGAAACAGAACGGTGAAGAACTCGGGTGGCCAGCATGGTCGCCAGCAGCTTGTGGTGGATATACAGACGTGGGTCAAGAAGGAAGGAGAGGTGTCTAGTCGTCGCTTGCGCTGACTTACCATTTGAACAGAAAGGTTCCCATTGTCGATAACCTGCCGATAAACCTATAACCTAGGGATAAGCGATACGGTGGATGTCGATGAAAGCGATTCAATAAATAGGTAATTAGAAGGAAGATTGAAGAGGTAGGTTGTAGGTATTCTATCTAAGGCTGAAGATGATGGAAGAGAAAAAGCTTGGAACGAGAGCTTCTTACACTACCACTACTCTTGAGCTTTAGCACCGACCCGCAGCTAATGTAAGTAATTATTAGTCGACTAGCCTAATAAAGCCAGATAAAAGTCCGCCGATCTATCAATTTGCTAGGGATTGCCAGGTCCTAGCACCCGTATATAGCATCCATAAGCTACCATAGTGAGACTAGCTCCACCTTTTTAAACTTACCAGCTACTGGATACATACATATTGCGTTATCATCGCATCAATATCGAGACCGGAACTGCCAATGAATTGCGATGGCAATATCTTGAAGGAATCAATAATTTCAATTGCGCCTTATCTTACTCCTCAACTCTCATAACTCTCATATTGCACGTACAATTTTACAACAATAAAACCATATTAGTGCATACCTCCTATCATAGGTACATAAAAGGATTTCAAACAATCCCAAGGATCGGATTGCCACTCATTGGAAGCCTCTTACCGTATCCGGGATTAGATACATACCTGCCAGCGCCCGTGGAATCATCTACGCATTTCGATGCGTTTGTGCATTTAACATTAGCATTCATTCATCCGTTCGATCACATGCGAACAAAGGTTTTACCCAGCCACTCCAATAACACTGTAACATCAGTGCTTATGTCCGAGTAAACCGAGCCAAGACTTGCAATCTAGATACACGAACAAACCAATGCAATATGCGCCTATCATTATAATTAGTTACCTTAGGTTTGAACGGCTCTACATATGCAGTATATATCAAGTTCATATGTAATTTCTCGGTACATTTCATAACGGATTTAAAAATAGAATCCATAGCATTTTTATATTCTATTATCATCATATCCACCACAAACCCAACGCGCACATCACATTCCACATCTATCTAGAAATACATTCGTTACCGATCGTAATTCGTCCTCGAGCAATACGGCATGCAGGCAGTTCTTGCAACAAGAAAAAAATAAAATAAAAGAATTCGTCCAACCCCGTAGATAAATCGAAACCCGGTTCCATCCAACCTCCTCCGCCAACGCCTCCAAGGTGCAGTGCGGTGCAAGTAGAAGAGAAAGAAACCCATGCATGCAATCAATCAATCAATATGTTCCTCGACTCCCAACCACCCCTCCCCCCGGGATTTTTTTATCTTCCCCTGCAATGCGCGCATGTTTCTAATAGTACAAGTGTATCTCTGTAGCTTCCCCTCCCCCCGATGTTCTATAATGTTTACCTATAAAACAAGGCACGCATACATAATTCGAGAGATAACGTCAGAGCAAAAATGACAGAAAAGACAGACAGACAGGCGGATAGGGAATAGAGAAGAAGAATAAGAAAACATAGAAATTTGTAAGAAGAAGAAGAAAAAAAATAGTCCAACCGAAGTAGAAAAAATAGAAGAGAATATATAGAAATACAAGAGAAAAGGAAACAGACAAGAAGTAGAAGTAGAAGAAGAAGAAAAGGGGAAAAAGAAATAATACAACCATCATTCATTCCCATCCATTTTATATCCCTAAGTCTCCTCGTCTCCCGTGTATACCGTAGTTATTCCTTTTTTTTTTCTTTTTTTTTTCTTTTTTCTTTTTAATCGTTCATTGGCATTTCCCCCCCGATCCTCCCCTCAGAACCACTTATACCCAGCGCGTTCCTCGATCTTCCTCAGCGTGCCCACGGCATCGACCAGCAAGCGGCTCTTCGCGCCCACAGCTTCGTCCTCGAGCCGCCGGCGCACCATACCGACGACGCCCATCGACTCGCGCCTGCTGCTGCGCGCCCCGAGCCCCGAGTCCCCGGCAGCCACCGTCTTCAGCCAGCGCACGGCTTCGCGCTCCCCGGCATTGTTATTAGCAGCAGCAGCAGCACCACCGTCGCGGTCGCGGTCGTGGTGCGGAGGAGACGTGCCGTCCGATCCGGAGCCGGAGCCGGACCCGGTATACGCGTTGCGGCCTATCGAGCGGTGGTGTCCGAGCGCCCAGCAGATCAGCACGCACGCGTACACCGCCCAGTAGTCCGAGATGTCCAGCATGTTCCAGTTCTTGTTGTTGTTGTTGTTGTTGTAGTCTCCTTGTTCTTCCGGGTCCGTGTTGTTTAGCGTATTGTGATTATTACGAGACTCGGCACCGTCGAGGAAAGCTAGGAGAGCCTTGGCGGCAAATCCGACGGCGGCGCTGGCGTGAGGGCTACCGCACCAGAGTTGCAGGCGCTTCTTGTGCTGTTGGAAGACCTGGGGAGAAGCTACCTTTCTTGAGAAGAGCCAGGTGTCGCCGCTAACTGCGAGCAAGTCGTGCAGAGGCGTATAGTGCAGCGCTAGATAGGTATTTCCGACAGCAGATCCAGGGAAAAGCGTGCTGATTCGCTCGGTAGAAGTCAAGTCTACTTCTACCGATAGGTCCAGTATGGAAGGGTTAGATCGTTTAGGCAGGCGGAGAACCTCTGAGGTTAGAAATACGGCGCGGTCGAGGTATCGAGCGTTCATCACCTGTTCCGCGGTTGGGGTCTCGCCGGTATGACTTAGAGGTCCCGTGTCGGCTGGTTTCGTCGTGCCGAGAAGGGCCTCCCATGCCTCGGGCGATTGCGCGGCCCAGAGATGTTCGGTAGGTCGAATTAGGGGGATAGGGCGTGTCGACATAAGAAATTGTTGTTGTATTACATGTTGTTGATAGTACACGGATGTGTGGGCATCCAAAACAAAGCAAGCGGCAAAGAGTCGGCGTCGTGACTCGTTATCGATCCATTCATTCCATCGTTCGTTTCGCGTTGAAGTAGAGAAAAGGAAATTGTCCGGTATTTGGTGGTTGGCCATCTGTGAGGAAGAAAATGTTGAGTATGGATACCATCGGCCATTAGGAGAAGACATAACAAAACTAAAGAGATGATCCTGGAGAGCAGAGTGTATGAGAGAACCAACAAGAGTAGAAGAAGAAGGAGAAGGAGAAGGAGAAGGAGAAGAAGATTGGAAACTCACCCGAGAGTAAAGCGACTGGAAGGACTCCGAGGGGTGTCGAAGGACACTCCGTCCACGGAACCGCGCGTAAAACTCGCAAAGAATGATCGTCTGCATGATTTGGAGGTTCCACTTCGTACACTGTATCTGCCGGTTCAGCAATTACTTCTTTATATATATACATATACACCTAATATAAGGTATATATCCAAGGGACTCAACTTACAGTCTTGACCTCCTTCCAGGCAAATTCATGCAACTCGTTTGCTCTTATACGATCATCCTTACCTTGGAGATACTGCGCGCCGACAGCAGCCATGGCGCAACGCAGAACCTCGTCGGCAGCTGTTTTGACGCTTTTGCGGTGAACCACCGGAAAGAGTGTGTCGAAGCTCTTCCAGTACGCTTGTAGGTACTTCGGGATGGCGTTCCGGACGTGCGGCGGCAGGGTGTTGGCGGTTAGAAAGGCTGGCCCCTGGAGTGTTCCCAGGAGCATCGTCGGGCCCTTCTGGCGAGTTCCTGCCGACGCTGCGTCGGGAATTGATGGGGCAGTAAGGGTGACTAAATTTTCATTCGATTGAGCGGACAGTGAGATAGTCGGTGGGGTCGGACTACGAACTGAAGAATAGGGGTGATATTGCTGATCGACGAAGGATTGATCGTCTGAAAAAGGCACCGGCAGGTTCAACGCTTGATCGATATTCGGTGCTGTTGCAGAAAAGGCCGTTCCAAAGAAAGCGGCCGTGGTGGCGACTTCGAGCCCACCGCCTGGGCTTTGCATGCTATGCGAGTAGAGAGGCCAGTCCGACGTTGGCGATTCGTACCCCTGAGCGTTCATGTTGTTTCTCCTGTGGCCGATCTCCGAAGGAGTAGTAGAATAAGTACTCTCCGAAGCGGAAGATGGCCAAGGCGAACCATCGTGACTAGCATGAACAAGACCTGGAGGAATACTGTTGTCAGGTATTGTTAAGCTAGGCAAGGTCTGGGGTAAGATCGTAGTGTCCATGAACATGGAAGGGAAGGGAGATGATGTACGAGGTTGATAATCTAGCCCAAAGAAGTGGTCAGTACCTGTGACCGGAGAGCCCCCAATGCTTGGGGGTGGGTTGATCAACCCAGACAGCACATAACTCTGGCCGGGATTGGGCGAGTTTTGATAGCTATCGCCGCGGCCGGGATGATGCGGCGGGGACATCGAGGTCCCTCCACTAGTACTACTTTGGCCACCCATCTGATACTGCATACCGCCGGCATAGGAGGTGCCGGAAGAATTATCGGACGGACCAGGCATTCCCGAGCGAGAACCAGAGTCCCTACCCATAGATGATGAGTGACTATGGGTCATATAACCTAGCCCGGCGTTTGGATCATCCAGAGTACCCGCAGACGGTGGCCGGCTCATGCCTCCCGACGACGCCTTATCATCATGGTCACTAGAATCCAAGTTAGCCTTTTTTGCTGGCGCTATACCTTTTTATTATTCAACCGCCCACTTACTGTCTCTGGGCGTGACGAGCGAGCAAGTCTGGTCTGTGAAATGCCTTTTCACAACCTGGAAAAGTACATGGAAATCCGGGAGTCTTGTGACTCAGTTGGTGGCGTCTATAAGTCGGCGTTTAGCGATGCGTATCCCAACGATATCCGTCGCCGAAATTACTTACCTAAGGTGTTCGGCCCTCGTAAATGTCTAATTTGTCATCAGATCAGCCTATTCCAACCTCGTGCGTAATTCTGAAAAATTCCTGCTCACCTTGGGCGGTTTACATATGTCGCAGGTATGAACCGGAACGCCTTTCTTCGCTCTACTGACACGGCCGGTAATGGGAGTCAACTTCACCGGCACGCCCCCGTCTCCCGGCATGTTACCCATTGGTCTCGTAGGTATAGCAGAAGGCGTCATGCTTCCTCCTCCAGATGATGAGCCTTGGCCGTGACCTCCGTACGCGGTGGGATCCATTGGTTCTAAGCTCGTAGTACTCTGCCTGCTCATAAGCGCCGGCCTTGCTGATGATGATGTCGATGGCGAGGAAGCGGTAGCGGTAGCGGTAGCTGATGATTTAGATGAGCGTCCTGTAGGACCACGCCGTCTCGTTGGGGCTGAAGCTAGTCTATCGTCTTGATCTCTGAGCTGCTTCTCATGACTCGACGTTGCCGCACGGGAAGGATCTGAACTACGAGATGGCCCAGGTGGGATGGAGCCGCCATCGTTCTTATTTATCTGAGGGTCTTCTTCATTGCCCATATCCATGATAAATTCCAAGCTAGTCATGGCTCAAATTGGAAACGACGCACAGCCCTGCAAGTTTGGATAAATAAAGAGTATATAGAGATGGAAATAGTCACAAAGGGTAAGACTGGAGTTAGGGAGGGGTGGATCTGTAAAGAAGGGCAAGGCTAGATAGATCTCAGCCTTCTAACTGGCGGCAGTATTCAAGTTGGTTCAAGAGAGAGGTCTGGTGTATAGCATCTCCGTCTGCGATGAAACGGGAAATACCAATAGCGAAGCAAGAAAGCAGGCTGAGCTGCATTGCTATATTGAGATCTAAAGGGCCGAAAAGGCAACACAAGCAAGCATACTATGTAGAGGAAGATAGATAGAGTGTACACGGAGAGAGGAAGAGAGTCGACAAGACAAGAGACGTCGGTCACGGCTAGGCGGACGACGGATTCTCTGACCCAGCCAGCCTGCCTAGCCATGTACCTACATGTATGTACATAGGTTGTAGTAGTGTAAGGCACCCCTGCTCCAGCTGACGGTGGATCATGGGCTGCATGGGTCCCGGGGTGGATGAGGTCGCGCGACATGCAAGGTACTAGTCCTAACGGTGGTGGCTCATTTCGATACTATTTACGGGGATGCATCGTACGTGCGTATGTATACACGGTGCTTGTAACGATAGGAATGTGGACTATGCGTTCTCCCTACGTATGAATAACAACCAGATTTCGTTGCCGCGATAGTCGACATAGACAGAGTGGGCGAGTGAGTGAGTGAGTAAGTGAGTGAGAGAGTAAGAGAGTAAGAGTGAGAGTGAGGGGAACGCCGCTCATCACTCATCGCTCATTGTCCATTGCCTCTCATAATCCTCTATCAGTAGGCCCATGCTGTATAAGGTTCGCTGATCATACATAGAACTATACATAGTTAACTAGTTAAGGATTACATACTAATGTATCATATGTATAGCGTAGCGTAGCTTTGCACACAAGGCAATTGTTCTATACTTTTTTGTATTGTGCTGTACCCGGTAGACCGGGTCGCGGCAAGGAGCGCGCCATAATTAGCAGAGAAGGGATCCCTACATACCTTGGTAGACAAACTAAAAGCAAGGGTAGTATCAGTATTGTATTGTACAAATACAACGCTGCACTCACACACGCGCGCATGAAGGACCAACACGGGAGAAGTGAGAATGTTTTTTTTTCTCTTTCGAGGACTTGCCATAATGAATCGACCTCTTGTGAGAAATCATATAGAAAGAGATGGCTTTTTCTATTATTATTATTTTTTGTTGCGCTGTTGTTTCTATTACTATAACCTCATCAAGGTATTTTGTTCCTTTATTTTCCTTCTTTTTTTTTTCGTTTTTTTATCAAGGACATT